GCGGGAAAATAGCCAAATTGGCCATTAGCATCCAGGTGCGAAAGGGTTTTTTAAAAGGTTATTCAAATGAAGGTCAGGTTTTAATGACTGCTGTAAATTTCAATCGGTAGTTGTATCTTAAAATTTTGGAATAGATTTATATTTCAACTTACAAATTATTTTTATTTAAATATGTATTTGCTTATGTAAATATATTAAGAACATTTTTTCTTTTTCTTTACTGAATTTGGTATTAACAAAATATACATATGATGTATCTAGCTTCTTTTTAGAATATTCCATTTTTAGCGGGCTAGCGACATCACTAGACCCTCTCCCTCGCGCACTTGTTGTTGCTCTCTCCCACCCGTTTTTGCAGGTAGCCATGAGAGTTCCAGAAATCCTGCATCCCAAAAACCAGTCTCAATTCGTGTTTGGGTTTCGAAGCAAGCGGATCGTTTGAAATAGGCGGCGGAATAACCAAAATAAGACTGAAAGAAAAATTTAAGTTGAAATGAGCGGAGAGGAATCTGCGGGCATGGACTTTTCGCAAAAGACCCTGCAGGATTACGAGGTTTTGGCCGTGATGGGGAATGGATCCTTCGGCACCTGCTACAAGGTGCGCGACAAGAGCACCGGGGAATTGTTCGCCTGGAAGGGAATGAACTACGATGAACTGGACGAGGCCAAGTGCGATGCATTGGTTTCCGAGATCAGTGTTCTGCGACAGCTCCAGCATCCTAACATTGTGCAGTACTACCATCATCTGGTGAACCGAGAGGCCAAGTCAGTGTACATTGTGATGGAGTGCTGTGCCGGCGGCGATCTCGCCCAGATTGTCCAGCGTGCGAGGTCTCAAAGGAAGCGGTTCGAGGAGCCCTACATCTGGCGGGTGCTCTTCCAACTTTGCCGGGCGCTTCAGGTGTGCCACAACAAAATCCCCAACGGGACCATCTTGCATCGCGATATCAAGCCAGCTAATATCTTCCTGGATGCGGCCGGGAATGCCAAATTGGGCGATTTCGGTTTGGCCAGGATGCTGCGACGAGATCAGAGCTTTGCCGCCTCCTTTGTGGGCACGCCGCACTACATGAGCCCGGAATTGGTGAAGGGTAGGAAATACGACCGGAAGAGCGACGTCTGGGCCGTTGGTTGTCTGGTCTACGAGATGTGCGCCTTGCGACCGCCGTTTCGCGGTAGAGCCTTTGACCAGTTGTCCGAGAAGATCGCCCAGGGTGAGTTCAGTCGGATTCCGGCGGTCTACAGTGCTGATCTGCAGGAGATCATCGCCTTTATGCTGGCAGTGGATCATGAACAGCGTCCCGGCATAGAGGTTATCATTCGACATCCTCTGGTGGTGCGTAATATCAGCGAGTTGGACGGCAAGTTTCCAAGTCTAGTTCAAGCTGGAGAGGATTTCTGTACACTGCCTTCTGGAGGCAGGCTTTTCGAGGACGAAGAGGAGAATGAGGTCCACCCAGAGTTATCGAGCACCATGTTTACGGAACAGTATAGCTTCAATGAAGGCTATGGGCAAAGGAGACTCAGCGTCACTGGTGTTTTTACTCCAGATTTGCGAAGTGAACTTTTCTACTCCGCCAAGCGAAAAATCTTTCCTGCCAAAAAACTACAGCTGTCGGATCCCGCCCTTTATGAAAGTATAAGGAGAGAGGAGCAAGCGGAGGAGAGGCAGGTCGAACTGGAGGAAGAGCGGCGGCGCAGGAAGGAACAGGAGCAGCAGAAAAAGGAACAGGAAGGCATTAAAAAGGTGCTTCTAAACGAAGCCAGTAGCAGTCCACGTGCCCTTACCCAAAACATATTCGATGAGGTACTGAAGACCCGTCTACACGCTATTCGTGCCCAAGAATCCTTGCTGCAGCAGAAGCTAGAAGAGCTACAGGCCCGGGAGCAGGAGATACAGCTTGCCGAGCAGCGTGTACAATCGCTGGAGCGGCAGATGCAGGACAAACTTATGCAGCAGGAGAAACACACTTGCAGTTGCAGAAAGCCTATTGCTCCGCCCATTCCTCCGAGGAAGCCAACAAAATCGCACCATGATGACACCTACTGCACCATCGAACTCAACGAGACATCGCCCACGGTGGCTAAACTCAATTTGGCCACTCTTCCGGCACCAAAATCGCTAAATACTCTGCGCAAGGTTACCTTTAAGTCGCCACAAAAGTTTGTCACCTATGGTATCGAGAATATGCCCCCATCGACGGTTAATCCGGCAGTGAATCCTCCGCCCACTGGCGTTCCCATGCAAATGAGCGTATCCAGCAATGATTCCGGGGACAGCCAGGCCTCTTCCACCCGCAGGAAGTCTATACTCTCGCTGTTCGGGTTGAGTCGCGGATCCAAGGCGACCTCCAAATCCTTGCCAGCGGTTAACCAGGCACCCCAGGCAGCGGGAATTCGCGTGCAGCGACCTCCTTTGGCCGTCAAGCCACCGATCACCCAGGAGCAGCCGGCAGCAGTTCCGCCAGTGGCCAATCTCTGGACAAAGGAGCAGAAAAAACAAGCCTTCGAGCTGCTGGCGGCCATGAATGCGGCAGAGAGGGAGGCCAGCGGAAGTGGAGTCAGTGGATCTGGACCCGGAGGAGCACGTCGCCAGCATCTGCGGCAATCGGTGAGGGAACGGAATTCCACGCTCCAGCGAAACCGCATGCGCAGGTCTTTGGTGGTGGCCAGTGGCCATCAGAAGCTAACAACGCGCGACCAGATGGTGATCTGAGCAGATCGATCCAGAGAGATGTGCAGTCCAGGAGCCATGGCAACCATGGATACTGTGAGCGTTGTGATGTGGAATAAGTTCCGAAATATTTACTCTCTTTTTTTTTTGTGCAACAATTTTTTTTTAATTGCCATATCTTAAACTCGTATTATTAGCATTAAGATTCTTGTTCTTTCAGCTGCCATTCATTGTGCAATTTGCATTAGTCTTATAAATAAATATACATTGATTATATGACCAATATTTAGGCTTTAAATTTGGATTTTTGTGTTTTTGTTTAATGTTGTTTGCTTGTAACCGTTAAATTCAATTAACGCATTTTCAGTGCTGGGTATTGTTAAAAAGAATATATAAACGTAGCATTTTTACAATGTAGTTTTCAAGCAAGATGCTCAATAAAGGGCAAAATTAAAAATTAAATTTAAAAAATGCTAGATGATAAAAAATTACTACTCGTCTTTATCTTATTTAACAGTTGCCAACACTTTTACCGCCCCAGCTGTTGCCTATCGATAGACCGATTACCGGTTTGTTACGCAAGCAACAGGTCTGGCGTGATTCCTGATTGGATTCTAATTGGTTTCTTGTCATTTCGCTGTGTGATTGCCGTGCTAGTTAATAAAAATTAATTAAATTCCAAGATGTCCGCCCGACTGCTGCAGGCCACGCGTCGCTGGAGCGCCCAGCGCAACTACAGCTCCAAGATCGCCGAGGTTGTGGTGGTTTCGGCAGCCCGCACACCAATTGGCAGCTTCCAGAGCCAATTGGCCCCACTGACGGCCACCCAATTGGGGGCCCGTGCCATCGAGGCGGCCATTGAAAAGGCCGGAATTGCGAAGACCGATGTCCAGGAGGTGATCATGGGCAATGTGGTATCTGCGGGTCTGGGACAGGCACCCGCCCGCCAGGCGGCCATCTTCGCCGGACTGCCCACCAATGTGTGCTGCACCACGGTGAACAAAGTGTGCTCCTCGGGCATGAAGGCCGTGATGCTGGGCGCCCAATCACTGATGTTGGGCTATGCGGATGTGGTCGTCGCTGGCGGCATGGAGTCCATGTCGAATGTGCCCTACTACCTGAAGAGGGGCGCCACACCCTATGGCGGCGTCAATCTCACCGACGGCATTGTTTTCGATGGCCTCTGGGATGTGTACAACAAGTTCCACATGGGCAACTGTGCCGAAAATACGGCCAAAAAGTTGGAGATCACACGTCAGCAGCAGGATGACTTCGCCATCGAGTCTTACAAGAGATCCGCGGCCGCTTGGGCCAACAAGGTGTTCCAGGACGAGATTGCCCCGGTGAAGATCCAGCAGAAGAGGAAGCCGGAGATCGTTATCGCCGAGGATGAGGAGTACAAGCGGGTGAACTTCGATAAGTTTGGACAGTTGGCCACCGTTTTCCAGAGGGAGAACGGCACTGTGACAGCTGGCAACGCCTCCACCTTGAATGATGGTGGTGCCGCCGTTGTCTTGATGAGTGCCGAGGCCGCCCAGAAGGCAGGCCTTAAGCCGCTGGCCAGGATTGTGGCCTTCCAGGATGCGGAGACCGATCCCATTGACTTCCCCATTGCCCCAGCTCTGGCCATACCCAAGTTACTGAAACGTGCCGGCGTTCGCAAGGAAGATGTGGCCATGTGGGAGGTCAACGAGGCCTTCTCCCTGGTCGTTCTGGCCAATATCAAGAAGCTGGATGTGGATCCCGCCAAGGTGAATGTTCACGGTGGTGCCGTGTCCGTTGGCCATCCGATTGGCATGTCCGGAGCCCGTCTGGTGGCCCATCTCTCGCACAGCCTGAAGAAGGGCGAGCTGGGATGCGCCTCCATTTGCAATGGCGGCGGTGGAGCCTCGTCCATTCTCATCGAGAAGCTGTAAGGAGGTCACCTGGTGGACCTGCTCTCAACCAGAAATGCATTTACTACTGATCCATCGAGATCATTGTGGAAAGCTCTGATTTTTTTTAAATTGTTAAGTGTCTTGATTGCGCATGGTCGCATTTAACGAAATATTGTGATTTGCATAATAAAATTATGAAACAGTGAATAATTATATGTATATCAAATCAGTTTTCTTCCAAGACGGTTCTTGGGTTCAAAGTCCGAAGATGTTGATATTTGTTCTGGAAAAAACCCAATTCAGTGCTAAAAAGTCAGTTTATCAATGAACTTATATTTCACTACTAATAGTGCACTATTTAACATCCCCCAGACTTCCCTGATTAAGTAATTATATTCGATTTTAAGGTATTTTCATAGTTTTTAGTAATGGTGTGTAAAATACTTTGCCTAGACTGCTGCTCTTCTGGTAGCCAGGAGCTCGCACACGAAGACGACCAGCGACAGGAGATAGAGTCCTGCGGTCAGGATGTAGACCGCCCACAGGTCCGGCTGTCGGATACGCTTCTCCCGGTACAGGAACCGACTGCGGAAGTACCGCTCGCTAGCCATCTGACCCGCCCAGTGGTGCAGCAGGCCCACGGAGCGAATGGACATGACCAGGTGGTCGAGGTGAGCGGCCAAATGCGAGTGCTTCTGCAGGTAAATGGCCAGCTGCTGCTCCAGGACCTCCTGCGGTATGATGTGATACGCACCAGCCCGATGGCCACGTTGGGTGAGGTGGAGAAGTGCATCCTGAGAGATGAGGCCAAAGAAAAGCGGATGTGAGCCGGCTCCTTCTCGCACAGAACAGCGGTCTAGCGTGCGGAGCACCTCCTCCTCCCGTTCGGAGGACACCATCACGGACCTAAGACCCAGCAGATCGTGCAGACTGGGCACCTCCCTCAGATCCTGCAACGTTGTTCGACCCATCACCGCCGCATAGTCGCCATGGGCTAGATCCTGCAAGCTTCCTGGCAATCGCTGATGCAGATGGTAGCGCAGGATAAAGAACAACAGAGCCGAGTACATGGACCTAACGATCAGGCCAAAAATCAGCCAGCTGGCGAAGAGCAACTGCAGCGACGGACACTCGGGGGGATCGACGGGCAAGCCAAGGGCGGCGGCATAGACCGCCAGGACGAGAGCCAGCCGATCCCCAGCGCCGCGTCAATGGAGCAGCGCCAGGCAGGAGATACTCAAGAAACTGGACACCAGGCAGATCCAGGTGAGTGCCTGAAAGGGAAACGACCAGATCTCCAGGCTGGTCAGGTTGTGGGCATTCAGCAGCAGACATCCCACCAACCGGTTCGAGTAATGCGGAAACACGGGCGTCAGGTTCGTTGCGTACTGGATGCGCTTCCTCACATAACCAATAGCCAGGTGGGCTATGCGCTCCTGGACCTGTTCGAATACGGATCACATTACATAAACACAACACTTTTTAGTGCCTACCAGCTTCTGCAGCAACTGCTTCTCCGACCATGTAGTGCGACTCTGGAGCTGATCCTGCAAGCCCGCAAACTGTATGCTAAAGTTCATCCTGTGCGACAGTTCCTGCAGCAGACGCCCCTCCAAGCCGCGCAGCTCGCGCTGCCCCTCATCGAGATCCAGAAAGGGCGACACTCGTCTGGCCAGAACAACCAATGGGCAACCGTTGAGGTTGTGCAGCTTGGAGGGAAAGTAGTCGTGATGCTGCCACGATTCGCCCAGAAACGCATTGATCCTGGTGGGCTGCGAGTCGTTGCATTGCCCAGGTGCGACGTAGGGGAAGTACGTGTGGAGCAGCACCTGGCCACCGGAACTCTGCGTCATCACGTTGCAGTTGATCAGCTGGTGGCGCCAGCAGTACGCGAACACCCCCTGCATGTCGTGCGGAATCAGTGCATCCCGCTGCTGCAGGAAGATGAAGTAGTACTCGCTGGTGTCCGACTGCGCCGTGTACGTGTGCATCTCGATGTCCCTAAAATACAAGTACATACTAATTTCATTGGGTTTATCTGATTTTTTGCTAAAAGCACTGAAATAATAACCAGAAAGTGGAATACCATTGAGTTCTTGGTTTATTGCGTTCAAGGCTGGGATATCTAATTACCAAAAAGTGGTAAAGAAATTCCATTTTAAAAGTCATTCAAAAGTTAATGTATTAAGAGGTATTCCATGCACCTGTATGGCTTACTCCAAACTAAAAACAGCAGGATAACTGGGATCATGCCACATTAAGTGGTGGTCAGCCCTGGAAATTTGAAAGTTGAGTATCTTACAGCAGGGCGTCCAGCGAGTCCACCAGCAGCAGATTGTGGGTCCGTGGTCCTGCGATGCGCCGCGGATGACCGAGCTCGACCAGCACCAGCTGGACGATCATCGTGTCCACGCTCTCGTAGAGCAGCTGCATAATGTTGCGGTAGAAGTTCATGGGACTGGGTCGCCGGCAGGAGAGGACCACAATGAAGGCGGGAGCGATCCGCTGGTAGAAGTCCTCGATGAAGACACGCAGGGCCTGGGCCACGTGGTGATTTATGGACGCCGCCTGCGTCTGGGCGCCGATGTACTTCATCGACTCGAAATGCAGCAGGCTGGTCACGTTCATGTCCGTCTATCGAAGTCCGGCAAGAATACTGCCGGCTTTAGGCAGTGCCAGCGGCACAGCGGCATTCCATTTCTATGGACTCCATATTTGCATCTCATTAGTTGCCAAGTCAAACAAAACCATTGTGGGACACGCACCAAGTTGGACAATTAGCCGGCGATTTTGTCCCTCAGCTGGCTAAATTTATATGGCCCACAAAGGTGGTGGTTACGATGGAACCCCAACCGATGTCCATATGTTTATGGGTGGGCATGTTCCGTTTATAAGTCGTGGTCATTGATTGATGTAGTCTCTTTATATCCTCGTACACTGAACTTTTCTACTTTCTAATTTTTCTATTTTTTCTATTTTTCGAATGCAATGAATAATTCAAAACTAATACGTGTGCTAATGTTAAATGATAATATACAATTGCTAGCATTATAAATAACTAAGATGATAAATAAAAGCGTCGCATAGATTTGTGTTTTTTCTACTTGCCCACCTTTGGTTGTCCACTTATTTACTTTTAATTAGTGCATTCTCCGTAAAGATCTGATCATGAATCAACGTCCGACCAGATGACCCAGTCCAGGTCCCAGTTGGTGTCCCGTCCTTGCAGTCGAGCACTAAAGTTGGCGCCATGAACACCAGCTCCGAATCCAATCCGAGCTCAAGCCTGAGTCATTCGATCTACACCAGCTACCTGGAGCACTCGAAGATCGACATGCAGGGGGAGGACGCCAATCTCTATGTGGCCCGGGCACTCCGGCTGGTCATCGAGAACGTGCTGGCCCAGCTGAGCACCACCCTGGTGGTGGCCATTTCCACTCGTCACCTGGGCACAGCACGGTGGTTCGATTACATGATGAACAATCTGATGGATTCGTGGCGAATGGTCTCGGTGCAGCTGCTGCGCATCCGACCGGAAATAGTGGCTCATCCGGTTCTAGGCAGGAAACACGTCAGCCTGTTGATGGTGGACTCCTATCAGGGATTGCTGTGAGTCAACTAATTGCAAATTGTCTGCCTTGCCAGTCTGAATCGCCCTTATTAGCGACACCAACATCACTGCCAGCAATGCGGACTTCGATGAACCGGACTACTACTTCATCTTCCTGCAGGCGCGGGACCACCTCATTCCCAAGCAGCTCCAGCTGATCCTGGACCACTGCCTGGCCCACTTTTGGCTGCACTGCAACGTGATGATCCAGACCGCCCAGGTGGAGGTGCTGGTGTACACCTATTATCCCTACACGGCAGGTGGCTGCCAGGAGGCTCATCCCGTTCCGGTGAATGCCTTCGATGGTCGCAAATGGAAGGCGTCCCAGATGTTTCCCGACAAGCTCAGCCAGATGCACGGCTGTCCACTGACTGTGCTCACCTGGCACCAGCCGCCCTTCGTGGAGTTGGTCTGGGATCCCAAACACAATCGCAGCCGTGGCGCTGGCTTCGAGATCCAGCTGGTGGAGCACCTCGCTCGCCGGATGAACTTCAGCCTGGAGCTGGTGAATATCTCGCTTCTGCGCCCGAACGCCTATCGCCTGGCGGAGGGCTCCATCGAAGGACCCATAGAGCTGGTGAGTAGCCATTATTATTGGGCTTTGGATTTTCAGTCTATTCCACGAGTTTTTCAGCTCCAGCAGCGCAGTGTGAACATCAGCCTGGGTTACTTCCGCAAGACGGCGCGCCGGAGTCAACTCCTCACTACGCCCATGTCCTACTACTCGGCCAATCTGGTGGCCGTCCTCCAGTTGGAGCGCTATCGCATCGGCTCGCTTGCGCTGTTGGTATTTCCCTTCGATTTGTCCGTTTGGATGCTCCTGCTGCTGGCATTGCTGATTCACCTGGGCATCCATCTGCCATCTGGAGGGCGGGGGAATCAGGAAGGCGGTGGCGGAGGATTGCAGGTGGTGGGCCTGCTCTTGGGCGCCGCCTTGGCGCGACTGCCGCGCCCCTGGAGGCATCGCTTCATTGCCGCCCACTGGCTGTGGGCCAGTATACCCCTGAGGATATCGTATCAGTCCCTGCTCTTTCACTTGATCCGCCTGCAGCTGTACAGCACTCCCTCGTTATCCCTGGACCAGCTGCTGGCGGAGGGATTCCAGGGTATTTGCACTGCGAATACCCATCGATTGCTGCTTGAGATGCCACAGGTGGCCCGCGATCCCTATAGCATTCAGTCCCTGGACACTCCCTACGATTGGGACATTTTGAATGTACTCACGCGGAACAGCAATCGCAAAATATTCGCCGTGGCCAATCAGGATGTCACCCTATCCTTCCTACACGCCTCCGCACATCCCGATGCCCTGCACGTCGTCAAACAGCCCGTGAATGTGGAATACGCTGGCATGTATATGCCCAAACACTCGTTTCTATACGAGAAGGTGGACGAGGACATTCGGCGGCTGGACGCCAGCGGATTCATCCACGCCTGGCGACGCGCATCCCTGTCATCCGTCCGTCTGGTGGAGCAGGTGCCGGCGACCAGCCGGCGGTACGTTAACCATGCCAAGCTCTCCGGCATCTACATGGTCATGGCGGGTCTGTATCTTCTGGCTGCTCTCGTGTTCGCCGGGGAGCTACTACTTCGCCAGCGGAACTAGAAGGTCGTTCAGCTGGGATATTTGGTTTACAAAGGTCCTTGTTAGCAAACAGATTAGCTGATTAAATTAAGTTGTTTCATATTGCAAAATATAAGTACAATTTCCTTTAATGTTTAATATCTTAAGGTGGGCAGTTTTGTATCGCATTCCTTTCACATGCATGGTTTTTTGAAGTATTTCTGACCCACATTTTTCTGGGTGGAGAAACAACTATTAATCACGCTGCTTTTCCGGGCAATTAACACGAAAGTTACACAAAACTCGCGAGGCGATTCAGAGGCACTACCCAGGCCAGGACACGGATATCCGTCATTGAGCCACTTCATGTCCCGTCGGGATGAACATCAGCGCACTGCTCAACTCGTACTACGATTTGTCCGGCGAGCAGATGAACCACATCAACGAGTTCGTGGCCCGGGCAGTGCTCCACGTAGTGCACCACTACATCCTGAGTGTGACGCCATCGTTGGTGCTCACGCTCTGTTGCCGGAGCAATCACACGTGCAATTTCTACAACGAGATGATGAGCACCTTGTTCCGTGAATGGGGACTGGCCCCGCTGCAAATCGTCAATGTGCTGCGTGGTGTACCGTGGCATCCGGTGCCAGGTCGTCGGCACTACAATGTCATCTTCACCGACTCCTTTGCCGCCTTCGAGGAGATCCGGATGGAGTACTATGCCAGAGAGTACAACTACAACGAGCACTATTTCATATTCCTGCAGGCCAGGGATCGTCTGCTGCAGGGCGAGATGCGGCTGATCTTCGACTACTGCTGGCGCTACCAGCTGATCCACTGCAGCATTCAGGTGCAAAAGTCCAACGGGGACATCCTGTTCTACAGCTACTATCCCTTTGGAGAGCATGGTTGCTCCGACATGGAGCCACAGCTGATCAATCGCTACAATGGCAGCATGCTCGTCGAACCGGACCTATTCCCCCCCAAGCTGAGAAACTTCTTTGGGTGCCCACTGAGATGTGCCCTTTGGAATGTCCCGCCGTTTCTGACCTTGGCTGAGCAGCCGGAGGAGGTACTGCTGGTCAACGGCGGCTACGAGGGTCGTTTACTCCTAGCGCTGGCCGAGAAAATGAACTTCACCATTGCTGTTCGAAAGGTGCATGCCAATATGAGGGACGAGGCCCTGGAAATGGTGAGTCCCTCCTCAATTTTCCCATGCCCATGTTACATCACGCATTTTCCAGCTGCAGCGAGGCGAGGCGGACTTGACTCTGGGCGGGATCCGCCAGACGGTGGGCAGGGGCTTGGTGGCCACCTCGACGCACAACTATCACCAGACCCGCGAGGTCTTCGCTGTCCTCGCCTCCAGCTATGAACTGAATTCCTTCGACATCTTCTTGTACCCGTACCGCCTGCAAATCTGGATGGGAATCTTTGGAGTGGTGGCCCTATCCGCCCTCATCCAACTGGTCGTTGGCAGGCTGCTCCGCGAACGACTGAGAACGCGATCCTGGCTAAACTTAGAGCTAGTCTTCGTGGGCATGCCGCTGTTGGAGTGTCCCAGATCGCATACCGCTCGTCTCTACTGCATACTGCTGATGATGTACACCTTGATCATCCGGACAATCTATCAGGGATTGCTGTACCACCTGATACGCACCCATCAGCTGAATCGATGGCCACAGACCATCGAGTCGCTGGTGCAGAAGAACTTCACCGTGGTGCTGACACCCATCGTGCAGGAGGTGATGGACGAGATTCCCAGCGTGCAGCACATGAGGTTCCACCTGCTGGAGGCCAGCTCCGAGCTGGATCCCCTGTACTTCCTGGAGGCCAATCACCAACTGCGACAGCACGTCACCGCCTCCGCCCTGGACATTTTCATCCATTTCAATCGCCTGAGTGCGGATAAAGTGCATCAGAGGGGCGAGCAGGGCTCGGGTGCCCACTTCGAGATCGTTCCTGAGGACATCATCAGCATGCAGCTGACGATGTACTTGGCCAAGCACTCCTACCTCATCGACCAGCTCAACGAGGAGATTATGTGGATGAGGTCAGTGGGTCTGCTCTCCGTTTGGGCCAGGTGGGAATTGTCCGAAAGCTACTTGCGCAACGAGCAGAGCTTCAAAGTCTTCGGCACCTTGGAGCTGTATGCCATCTTTCTAATGGTCCTGGTCGGCCTGATCGCTGGCCTATTGGTCTTTATCCTGGAGCTTGTGTCCATGCGATCCCTCTTCCTAAGGAAACTTTTTACATAGTTTTTGTACTTGACTGTAGCTAGCTATTTTCCATATTATCACTATTATCAGCAGAATTCAAATTGCGCAATTACAATAGAGGCTTTAAAACTATTTACCCAATATGTTTTTTTTCCTCACTGTAACTAGAAAGTGGCGTAATTTAATTATATGTAAATTGCTCGGATAACGATGGATTATAATTCCCAGTGTGGGTGAGTGCGGCAAGCGTGTGGTCTCCATGGAGGTCAGGACATTATCCAGCTATTTGTAAACCTCTTACGGCTGACATGCTGCTCGCATGGAGCTGACACCGACGGGGTGTTCCCGGTAATACCCACACACCCCAACACCCAACACCTAACACCCAACACCCACTGACCCCCAGCCACCCACAGGTGCGCGTGTGTGTGTGTGTCTGTGATCCGCTGATGGTGTTAATTTATGGTTATGCGCCTCATGCATAATACTGACACCCGAAACCTGTCACGCATATGCCTCCGGAACGGGTCAGGTGGCTGGCTGGGTGGCTGGTTGGGTGGCTGGGTGGCTGGGTGGCGGGGGTTTTGGGTGGTGGCCATGGGGTGCTCGCCCGTACGGAGCAATTAGTTTAAGTGATGAACACAGATTTGTTAATGCATTGCCGTTACAGGCACGTTGCTAGAATTAATTTGAATCGCGCGGCACGAGCTGTTTTATGTGGCTTATAGCAACTAATTTGGAAGTCGTGCTTTAAATCAGATAAGAAGGCTAAAACCACAGCCACTTGACAGCCACTCACAGTTCTGTTTAAAAGCAGAGCTGTCTTAAAAAATCTTTGAAAAATACCCGAAATATATTTTTTCGGGCTTCCCACAACATGAAACGCACTGTAGATTTTTACAACTGGATAGTGCAGCCACAGCCCTGGATCCCTGGCCACAACAAATCTGGTCCTTGGAGGGCGGGAACTCAATCGAATAAATTCGCAAAAATTTGCCAAATGTTGCACATTCGCCATGGAACTCCGCTGCGCAGTGGCAGTGCTCCTTTCTGCCAGTCTTTGTGGAGTGCGGGCCATGTTGTGGCCCCAGCAACTTGCTTTGGAGGAGCAACTGGCCGACCAGATTGCCGCCACGCTCCAGAAGATTTTCACCAATGGCCTTGCGGCTCACAATTGCAGTGTGTTTATCAGCTCCGCCTACGAGGAAATGGACGCGGATCGGGTGATTCTGGTGCAACGAGTTCTCCATCGAAGCTTGTACCAGCCGAATGCGCCAGTGCCCGTTGTCCTGGCCACCGAAATGAACCGGAAAATCACCGCCCACGTCTTCACCCAGTTGCTGTTCGTCCAGAGTGCTGAGCAGGCCATGTACCTTGAAATAGAAGACTTAAAATGGAACACCCCAATTAAACAATACATTTGATTTGCATTTCAGAGCCATCGCCGAAGGAGTGAACAGAAACAGGATGTGCCTGATCGTACTGTTGACATCCCAGCCGAAACGGCCCATTATGGCGAGGATTTTCACGTATTTCATGCAGGAGCGATACAACATCAACGTGGTGATCCTGGTGCCCGGTGTGCAGCGAGTCCAAGCCTTCAATGTCCGGCCGTACACACCCACCAGCTGCACGAGCGTGGAGCCCGTGGAAATTGATATAAATGAGGGCGATTTGTGGGACGTCTTTCCCAGCCGGCTGAAGAACCTACATGGGTGTCCATTGAGCGCGGTCGTGTGGGACATACCGCCCTATATGCGCATAGATTGGAAGAGCAGTGATCCGATGGACGGACTGGATGGGTTGGACGGAAAGCTGCTACGGATCGTAGCTCGCAAGATGAACTTTACGCTGAGACTGATTCCCAACGAACCGGAGGGACTGATAGGTGGCTTCAGTTTCATGAATGGCACCTTCACGGGAGCCTACAAAATGCTCAGGGAGCGAAGGGCCAATATCACCATTGGCTGTGCCGCCTGCACGCCAGAGAGATCCACCTTTCTGGAGGCCACGAGTCCGTACAGCCAGATGGCCTACATAATCGTGATGCGGGCCAGGGGCGGCTATAGCATCTATGAGGTCATGCTGTTTCCTTTCGAGAAATACACCTGGCTGCTGCTCAGTACGGTATTGGGTCTGCATTGGATTGTGGGCAGTCGCTGGCGAATGCCATCCCCCATTTTGGCCGGCTGGATGCTCTGGATCTTTGTGATTCGGGCCAGTTACGAGGCATCCGTCTTCAACTTTATACACAACTCACCGGTGAAGCCATCGCCTCGCACTTTGGAGCAAGCTTTGAACGGTGGCTTCCGGTTCATCACCGATCATGCCACGTACAGGATGACCCTGCAGATACCGTCGTTTCAGGGCAAGACTTCGATCTCCGCGGGACAACCGGTGGATGTGTTTGATGCTCTCATGAAGGCGCCCTGGAAAACAGGCGCCTTCACCAGTCGCGCCTTTTTGGCCGATCACCTGGTTAGGCATAGGAAACATCGCAATCGGCTGGTGATTTTGGCCGAAAAGATCATCGATAATATGCTCTGCGTGTACTTTCCCTATGGCTCCTACTTCGCCTGGGAGATCAATAATCTGCTCTTCAAAATGCGAAGCTTCGGCATTTTCCAGCACCACTCGCAGATCCTCGCCTGGAACAGCATGCCCACCACCACGGACACGGATTCGCCGGGCCAAACCATTCACTCCTCTACGGAGAGTGCGGTCACGGGATTTGCCGAGTCCATGAGCTTCGTCTTGGCAGCACTCAATTGCTTGATGGGAGCACTGTGTGTTTCCATTGTGGTTTTTGGTCTGGAGCTGCTGAGTCAAAGGCGCCGCTGGACGGGATTAGCTTGGCTATTCGAAAGAGTCTGAGTGGTATTTGATTATTCTGAAGGCATATTTATATATTATATATTATTATATTATTAACATAAATAATATAATAGTTTAAAATAGCTTCAATTTAGGTCATATAAGTTTGCTTTTCATGCCTCAAATGTTAATATAATATAATTGGTGTGTTTTCATGCCGCATATCTGTTAATTAGGTTGAAAACCCTGCGCAATCTCGGATGATTCCTGGTCGAAATCTCCAGCACAAAGACCACGAAGGCCAGCAGATACAGCCATCCACAGCAAACGAAAATCCCACCCAGCCGCCAGATGGACAGTGGCTTGGGCTCCATGTTCCGTCGCTGTGCCACCGGCTTGATTCGGTCCAAGTACATCATTCGGTATCGGGCGACGATGCCGGATGACATCATGGCCATGAGCAGGCGATCGACTCGCCTCTTGAAGTAGGAATGGGGTCGCATGTAGAAGGTTAGGGGGGCGGTCATCAGGGGATCGGGCAGGATGGTCAGGTGCCTCTCATTTGGGCCCGAGCGAAAGTCGAACTGGTGGATAGTGGGCTGCAGAAGCGGCACTGCTATGCCGGGATCATCCTCATCCCGCAGCCGGTACAGTGACTCCTCTTGCGAGGCCACCACTCGGAAATTGGTCCTGGGCATCGAATCCTTGAAGACGGTGCGCAGAGCGGGCAGTATACGGAACTCGTAGTCCTTGGCCAGCACCTCGCCGAGGGACTTAATCGGCGATCGCCGCTCCACATCCCGCAGCAGGAGGTATAGCTGACCGGTATAGGCGGCCCGGAGGATCAGTGTTTGCAGGAGCCACATCACCAGAATGTATCTGGCGAAGTTCCTTTGTGGATTATGAATAGCTAGACCGCCGAGCAGACTGCCCCACATGCCCAGGCACGGACGATGATTGTGCCTGCCCAGCACCAGGTTTCTCAGTCCTGGCACAGCAGTAATCCGCAGCAGCCCAATCAGCAGGAAGCCGAAAATGAGGCTGGCCAGGAGGCAGGACCAAATTATGTAACGGAAGGGCCTTGTCAGTCGACCCATGGGCGACATGGAGCCCCCGCTCGGGATTACGAGGTCTATCGGGAAACTGGCGTAGGAAATGCTGGGCAGCATCAGATCCGCACGGGCTTTGCTGTACATAAAGCACACGAATGTCAGGTTCACATCGCCATCGACCATCTGCAAAGGAGGCCAAATCCGTAAGGGACATGGTTCAGGGGTCCGGATATACGTACCATTTTGAGGATGCCCGTGAAATTGCCATCAGGCAGAATTTCGCCACGGTTCCTGTCCTGCCGCTCCACCAACTTAACAGAGAAGTTCATCCGCTCGGCCAGGGTGCGGAAGATCAGACCCTCGATGCCGTGCACGCGCCTGCCTCCCGGAGTCTCGGGATCATCTTCGATGATCACATATGGCCGGTGCTCGAACGTGGCAACCACCAACTGACAGCCATGCATGTTGGCCAATTTGGTGGGGAAGAGCGGCTTGGTAAGCCCGAATCCAGCCGCCGGCGCGGGCAGATCCTGGAAAGCAGTGTAGTAGACAGGCAGCGAGGACTGGCAGTGATGCGGTCCATAGGGATAGTAGGTGTACAAGTGCACAGTTCCATCTCTCTGCAGAAAGACATTCACATTCAGCACATACATGTTTAGCAATCGCCGGAACATAATCTTCAGGGACTCCATGGGCTGATCCTCCAGGCCGGTGTACACAACCAAAAAGTAGCCATTCCTCTTGTACGGACTGCCCAGCTGATTGAGGTACATCTCCAGGCGGAAGTAGGATCGCAGGCTGTCCAGAAACCAGATGGCCGTGGGTCTGCCGCTTAGGCCACTTGGCGGCGGCAGTTCCGTCTCCGCATTGGCTTCCGTCATCTCCACACGGTCGTCCTCCAGCAGAAACTGGATTCTTCCCGTGCCCGAGGATCTGAACAGCGCGGCATCTATGAGGTCGTTGTGCAGGCTCCTGCTCTCCCGACTGGTCGGGAACTGCACCACCGCCAGCGGCGTGCTGGTGGCCATGCCGTAGTAGTTATCAATGGCCCAAACCAGGGCGTAGACCAGGCTCACATTGTGCACGGCGCTGGCCAACATCGTGAGTCACCGCTGGCTCCCAGCCAACTGATGTCCTGCACTTAGGCCAACTCCATCGCCTGACTGGATGGCTACGCTGGAAACATGGATGGGTCACCTTACTGGATGAGTTGAAAGCCAGGACTTCCAGATTACCAATGGCCTACATCTTTGGCACAGTGCTACTCCCAAACATTGTTCGATTGTTTAATCATTTTTGCAAGCAATTAATTTGTATATTTTGTATTTATAGCCACTTGGCACTTTTTCCTGTGCATCAGCTCGTTACTATTACTATTTTAGATAAGCTGGAATCACTTAACTGACGGGTCGAATGGCGTGCCGAAAGCTCTATCGGCGAAATCTGAAAATGCAAATGCACAATAAATTAACTTTAAATATATAAAATCGAAATAGCTGTATGCACACCGATGTTTATTGCTTTCACATTGCTTGTGTAAATACAAAAGGGCAAGGCACATACACTTGAATGTAGGTTACGGAAAATATTTGTTTACATGGGCAATATTCCAATAATTACTAAACATATTTTATAACACCTTAGCACGCTTTTTCTCCCCGACAAGTCCAACAAATTTTTGCAGAGCTCGAGGGTTACTCAAAAACAAATAAAATGCAAGAGTTGTAAGCAGTCAGTTGCTAAAATGTATTTATTTAAAATGTATTTTAGTACAAGCTGTTTAAGAACAACAATCCCAAATTCTTTGGCTTACTCACCTACAATTTTGCTGCACATTTTGTACATTGATATTTTTTATTCAATGCGTGACTAAATGTGAGTCATGAGTAATTTTATACAGATCAGAGTCTGCGTTAATCTGAAACCAAGTCGGAACCAGCCAAAGGTCGCTGTACCGAGCCAAAGAACTGCGCTTTCTGCTGACCTCCACAAAACCCACCCGCTGAACGGCAGAAGCTTCTGTTTCTCGTGTCGCTACAAGCTGCACCACCGCTGACCTCAGCAAGCCGCGGTGGTGCTGGTGTTGCTGGTGGTGCTGGTGGTGCTGGTGACACACAAACCATAAGACGATCGCAAGAATTCTGTGGAGCGACGCTGAAGGGCAGCCGCGCCGCGGCCCCCAACCAAAACCAGGTGCGGATTCCGGCCAAGTGCATTACTGTTTAAAGAATGGTTCCCCAAATGCTGAAAAAGAGTTCCGTTTAAGTATTTGCATGATATCAAGTGAATGATGCAGTTGATATTGGCATATCAGTGGCAGAAGAGTCGCGAGATTTGGCTGCCCGGCACTGTGACCAAATGAGTCTAGCTTCGGCGCCTTCCGTGTGATTCCAGACCTGATTCGCTCATACTGTCCACTGTGCAGGAATTGCGCTGAGTTCGTGGAAAAGATGGTGAGCGGAATAGTTGGGCAAGGTTTTTTGCAGCACTTGCAGCGGCGACGGCTGCTGCGGTCTGTTTTCCAATTGGGGGCACACACACGGAAACTCTGGCCGCTCTGCGGTGCGTGTGGTGCACCCGGGTCCGGGTCACGAATTCGCAGACGTCGGCACTTCTTGCGCCGGCGACGCGGTGGCAAAAAATCTATTTGGACCACCAGCCGGCGGCAGTCGGCAGTCAGTCGGCCCACGAGCTCCGGCGAACACAGATCGAGCTTTAGCGATTCTACCGAGTTTTGACCACCCACAGAATGAGACTGTATAGCCATCTGCCGCTCCTGGCGCTCCTCGTCGTCCAGGCTGTCGGACAAAGTCAGGTGACCTCTGAAGATCCTGCAAGGGATGCTGGATCAACGAGCAACTCCACGGCGGCCACCAGGCCAAGGATTCCCAGTCAGGAAGAGGTCAGTACGCCTAGTACATCCATCATAGACTCTGCTGTATGCCAGCCTCTGGTTCCCATTTATGTTTGCAGATCCTTGGCCAGATGCCGCCCATTCCCCCCATCCGCACTGGCAGTCCTCAGATGGACGTCTTTTACATGATGTTCCCGGCGTTGGGCAGCCTGCTCCGTTGGGGCAGCCTTTTCCCCGCCCAGTCGATTCTGGGCGCCATGCCCGACAATCTGCAGCCCGCAGCGGCGGCCTCCAAGGTGGTGCTCGTCCTGGCCGATGATGCGACGGCCAAGACCCGAGTTGTCCGCCAGAATCCGCCGCTCAATCCACTTGGTCAGCTCATGAATTGGCCCGCTCTGCCGCAGGACTTCCAACTGCCCTCCATGGACCTGGGACCGCAAGTGGGCTCGTTTTTGGCCCAACTGCCTCCTATGCCCGCCATTCCCAGTATTCTGGGTGCCGCTGCTCCAGTTCCTGCTCCAGCTCCTGCCCCCGCTGCTGCTCCTCTGGCACCAGCTGCAGCTGCGGATCCTCCGGCAGCACCTGCTCCAGATGCAGCCCAGCCAGCCATACTGGGACAAGCCGCTCTGCAGAACGCTTTCACCTTCCTGAACCCGTCTAACTTTGATGCCTCCGGTCTTCTGGGCCAGAGCGCACCCACATTTGCTCCTCCCAATTTCGATTTCGTGGCGCAAATGCAAAGGCAATTCTTCCCGGGAATGACACCAGCACAGCAACCTGCTCCCGCTGGCACGGATGCCCAGGCCTCCGACATTTCCGAGGTGAGGGTACGTCCTGAGGCTCCGTACTCGCAAGAGGCCCAGATGTCCCAGATGAAGATCCAATCGGCACTGGAAAGGGAGCAGGAGAGGCAACAGGAGGCTCAGCTCAAGGATCAGGAGCAAGTGCCTCTGCTCTGGTTCCGCATGCCCACCACTCAGAATCAGGATGCGACTGAAGAGAAGACTCTGGAGGATTTGCGGGTGGAGGCCAAGCTGAGGGCCTTTGAGCGCCAGGTGATATCCGAATTGAAAATGCTGCAGAAGATCGAGCTCATGGCTAAGCAGATGAGGTCCAGCGCCAGCGCGCAAAATGGTGATTCACCCTACAGAATCAATTATCCACTCAGTCGTACACCCATTCACAAGATCACCCGTGCTGATATCGAGCAGGCCCTTCGGGATGACTATGTCCGCCGATTGGTCAACAAGGAGGCGCAACGGAGGGCAGGCAACTCCGGGATGAACAGCCAGAAGGCAAATGCCCTGAAGCGACAGGCCAAGTCCCAGGAGCAGGCTCTGTCCAAGGAGGACATCGTCCAGATTATGGCGTATGCCTATCGCATGGCCAACGAACAGATGGAGAGTGAGAAGGGCAAGCAGGACAAGGTTTACGCGGCCTACAGGACGGAACAGAGTCCAATGACGATGGAGCAGCGGCAGTGGTCAGAGGATCAGGCCAAGATCCAACAGAATCCTCAGCAGATCCAGCAAGGCCCAATGATGATGCAGCAGAGGCAATCGGCGGAGGATCAGGCCAAGATGCAGCAAAGTCCAATGATGATGCAGCAAGGCCCCATGATGATGCAGCAAAGACAATCGGTGGAGGATCAGGCCAAGATGCAGCAAAGTCCAATGATGATGCAGCAAAGCCCCATGATGATGCAGCAAAGGCAATCGGCGGAGGATCAGGCCAAGATGCAGCAAAGCCCCATGATGATGCAGCAAAGCCCCATGATGATGCAGCAAAGCCCCATGATGATGCAGCAAAGCCCCATGATGATGCAGCAAAGGCAATGGACCGAGGATCAGGCCAAGATGCAGCACGATCAACAGATGGCCCAACAGATGGCACAACAAGGCCCCATGATGATGGAGCAGCGGCAAAGGCAGTGGTCGGAAGACCAGGCCAAAGTCCAGCAGGCTCAGCAGATGGCGCAACAGACACCCATGATGATGCCACAGATGCAGCAAAGACAGTGGACAGAGGATCCCCAAATGGTTCAGCAGATGCAGCAGAGACAGTGGACAGAAGAGCAGGCCAGGATGCAAATGGCACAACAGCGACAGATGGCGGAGAATCCACAAATGATGCAGCAAAGGCAGTGGTCCGAGGAGCAGAACAAAATCGAACAACAGCAGATGGCGCAACAGAACCAAATGATGATGCACCAGATGCAGCAGATGCAGCAGAGACAGTGGACCGAGGATCAGGCCAAGACTGAACAGCAGCAGAGACAGATGATGCAGCAGACCCCCATGATGATGAAGCAGCGCCAGTGGGCCCAGGAGAACCCCCAGTCCGTCCAGCAGCAAGTGCCGCTGATGATGCAGCAGCAGGCACCCATGACGATGCAGCGTGCAGTTGAGGAGCAAGATAATGAGGCCGAGGATCAACTGGTTGGCGAGGCGGGTCCCCAAATGCCGGAGAACGAGAACGGCGCCAGGCACAAAGGTAATCTCTTCGGCGTCTTCCGCAATCCTGACTCAGTGCCATCTGTCTCCCCCACAGTCGATGCCCTGGGCCTTGGCGGCAACAAGCGCAAGAAGTCCAAGTCCAAGTCGGCGAGGCCGACGGTGATTAACTATTACTATGCGGCACCCCAGCGTCCGGCAGTTCAGAGTTACGGCACAAGTTACGGCGGAGGTGGCTATGGATCGAACGCCTATGGTGTCCAGCAGCCAGTCAATGCCTATCAAAGTCAAGGCTACAGGGCTGCCGTGGGCAACGAGGAGGTAGATGAGATGCTGCGCCGGCACCAGACAATGGCCAGGGTGAGTTGAGATTGGTGTGAAAGCACTCGAATTGACAGACACCACACAACGCCACACCACATTGAGCACCACAACCACAACCACAACCACACTGGAACATGTAGACAGTTGCCTTCATTTGATCCATTTCATACGATTCATTCGCCTTTTTCCCATGGCATTAAACAGGCGACGCATTTCAGACAATAATCCCGAAGCAACCAGGCCACGTCGGTGGATCTGAGAGCCAGGAGAGCAGCTCCAATCCTCCAGCGACGTTGACACCAGCTCTAGAAGAGCCACCGCAAGAGCATCGAGTCCACAAAAGGTTAGCACTTCTCCACAGGTTTGGGCAAGGGACAGGGGTGGATGCTACTGCATCCAAAAGCTGCGGATGTGGCACCTTGGATTGTCTGTGCGGCAGGAGCTGTGGATGCGGGAAATCAGGTTCGAGGACCTGCCAGTGCAAGGCCAATCGCCGGAACAAACGTAGTGTCGAGTATGGCACCTTGGAGACCATCGATGAGGGTTCTCTGAACGAACTGAGAAGGGAATATAAGCTGGGACTCAAAGAGATCACCCTGAATCCAGATGAAGATCCCGCCGAGGCCCTGATGCGCTACAATGCGGCCTCCATTCGCGAAGCCTTGGAGAGAGCCAGTATGGTACCGCTGGAGATCGGTGGAGATCAGTACGAAGAGGATGCGCAACACGAGCCCATGCAGGAGGAGCAACTGCAGCATGATCCCAGCACAGAGCACCAGTACAATCATAAGAACTTTGTGCGGCTAACCGCTTCCACGGCGTCTCCAATCACGAGTACGAGTACCACAGCAGCGGTCACTCCCAGAACCAATGACTCCACTTCAGAAGCCCCCGAAGCTACTACCACATCCACAACCACAACCACAGAAAGCACCAAGGATGAGGGACTGGACATGCTGCAGGACTCACAGGCCGCGGCTGATAGTTCTCCCGTCACCAAGTCAATTTCCAAGCAGGAGATGGAGATCCATCAGCTGCACAGTATTGTGGATGAGCTGAAGAACGAAATCCTTAAGCTGAATCTGCGCTGCAGCAAAATAATATCAAATACTGTGGCCAAAGAACCAGTTCCAGAGCAGACCCCACCCGTGGTGGAGGAGCCATCCAAGCAGGAGGAGACGCCAAAGGTGGAGAAGGAGAAAGTGATTGCTGAAGAGCAGGCCCCAGTTGAGCAGGAGGAGGAGCAGGAAGAGGACGAGGATAGTACCTCCACCAGTACGACCACAGAGACTCCCTCACCAAGTAGTAGTTACTCGCCAAAACCTGAACTCAAACCCATTCCGGCCATTGGATCGCCCACCGTGGTTGAGCACATTGGCTCCTCCAATAAGCTGGACTACGAAGACGATACCAATTGGCAGCGCATTCTGGCCAACCGCGGCTACGACATGGATTATCTAACCAAGTCCCATGAGCGTCAGTTTTCCCAGGGCCAAAATCTCGAGATGCCAAAGAACTGCAATTACGATGGAAATGGCAGCCAGGAGTATGGCCCCTATCCGGAGTTCCAAGCGGACGAACCCAGCTCGGATACGGAGGGCAAGACCAAGCGGGCTTTGAGTGTGAAACAGCAGGCGCAGCTGCTCAATGCGGCCCTAAATGATAGTGGAAGTGATTCGAGTGATGCCTCCACCACCACCACCACACTCTCTCCGTACGCGCTGAGGGGAAAGTTTGTGAGTCGTAGGAGCACGGCTACTAGGACTCCCATTCCAAGGACTAGGAAGGCCAGCGACGAGGTCTGGGTGCGATCCCCTCGGCAAGTGAAAATGCCCCAACGACCCAAGATGTCCATGTCCACGCCGAAGAAGTACAGCACGCAGGTGACCACACAGGCCACCGTGAGTAGCACTAAGCTGGACAGTTTGGTGGATGTGCTCAAGGATCTGTTGCGCCTGCAGATTCAGAAGGAGAAAAAGTCCAGTCTGTTGAGAACCCAGAGCAGTGACCATTCGAAAACCCCCAAATCCATTAAGCCCATCAAAGTCATCAAGCGAAAAAGGTTGCGCAGAAGGCAACACAAGTCCATTGCCACGACCATCAGGAGCCCCATTCACTCCAAAGCATAAGATTTCAGCCCATTTAACTAATTCACATATCCCAACTAATTGTAAACATTATTTAGAGTGTAAGCATGTCCACTAATCGTCCGCAAGCCATTCATGTCCATTTTTCATTTGCATATCCCTCGTCCATATCGCCAGTCCATCATCAGCACCATCTGAATCCGAAATCGAAAACGCACCATCATCTGACCCCCAAGTGGGTTCCATTTTCACCTACGGCGAGGGATTGCTGCATCCGTTCATGGGTCTGCTGCCGGTGGAGAGGCCCGATGATCCCTGGAACCAGAAGCCATACGATCCGCACCATCCTCTTTACACGGGCGGCGGGAGCTACGATGCCTATCTGAGGGATGGTCGCCAGCGAAGGGACACACACATCATGGGCCAAGGGTCGCCGCATGGCATCCTGACACCCGGCATGTTGGAGCGACTTCTTCGGATCAAAATGGATTTCCAGCGTAGGTTTCCCCATCTATACAAGGGCATGCTGCATCACCATACGAATCTTACCCGCGTGGAGGTACAGCCGCCAGTTCTGGGCAAGATTTCTAAGCCGAAAACCAAGACCAAGAATGAGAACGAGCGGGATGAGCCCGTCTTTGAGTTGGGAGCCGCAGAGCGTAGCCTGTTCGAGGACGAGGCCAATGATTCTCTAGAGAAAGAACCCGAACCAGAACCGGATGAGGATGTCCGGGATGTGGAGGAGCCCAGCGAGAGCAGTGAACCCAGGGGATTCAGCAGCAGGAAAGGACGGGATGACAACTACATCGACTACTTTAATTTCGATGACGATGATGTTGATGATTAGACTTTTATTTTAATTGCCAATAAAAATAAACATTATTAATGTAAAAACGCTATAGTCCGTTGCTAGACTATCGTATACCCGGTACTCAGCTAGTGGGAGTGCGAACGAGAGAGTTCAACATTCTACATGGACAGAAAATGTTTCTCCAATCTTAGTCCCAACTTTTTAGCTGTTATAGTCATGTTACATACTTTTCAACCAATCTGGTATACCCTACCTCTTCGATCAAAGGGTATAACAAGGAACATTAACCGAAAAGGAACATATTCTGTTCGCATAGGTTATTCGCATAGGTTAATAAATCCCTATTGTTAACCGTAAATAGTAATGCAAGTTACCCAAGGGATTCGACTTTAATGTGATATGATTAACGCGATTGGTCAGCGCAATTACCAAAATTTCCCCAGGGACCTGAAAAGCACAGTGTTCAAAAGTGGCCACATTAGCACATTCCTTTGGCAACTCTTTAGCCATGAGGTACTGGTTATATATATTGGCCTGCTGCTCCTTGGTGGCCAGTACAATGGAATCCAGATCGGACTCGGACTTGGCGGAAGCTCTGGCCCAAGTGGTGGCCAACTCGGTGATGGGTCGCTTCAAAACCTTGTACATTTACGCCCACACGAGTTCGCAGTCAACTGGCGGCCACTTGGAGGAGCTGCTCGACCAGGTGCTGATGATGCTGCCTAACAATTTGCAGGCACGCAGGCTCTTCCTCCACCAGTCCATGGAGTATAAGCCATATGTCCATGCTGTCTTGGCTCTGGTCGACGATCTTCAGTCACTTTCGGCGATCTATGCTCGGATTCGAGCCACCCAGGACCTATCGCACACACTGATATACATGTCCATGCCCACGGATGCATATGGCGAGGAGATGCAGGCAGTCCTTCGACTCCTGTGGCGTCTCAGTGTACTGAATGTGGGCGTAGTGCTGCGTACTCCTGGCGAGCATATTCTGATGGTCAGTTACTTTCCATTCAGTGAGTTGCACGGCTGCCAAGTGATCTCGGCCAATGTGGTGAATCGCTACCAGGTGGGCACAAGGCGTTGGGCTAGCCAAGAATACTTTCCCAGCAAGTTGGGGAACTTCAATGGCTGCCTTTTGACCTGTGCCACTTGGGAGGATATGCCCTATTTGGTTTGGCGACGCGACGGCAGTGGCAGCTTTGTGGGCATCGAGGGCGCACTGCTCCAGTTCATGGCTGCCAATCTGAACTTCAGTGTGGGTCTCTATTGGATGAACAAGGAGGAGGTGCTAGCCACTTTTGACGAGTCCGGCAGAATTTTCGACGAGGTGAGTCGAGTATATAAATCTAGATATTGTAGTACAATCGGTGTGCTTTTCAGATCTTTGGCCATCATGCCGACTTCTCACTGGGTGGATTCCACTTTAAGCCCAGCACTGGCAATGAGATACCCTACTCCCAGTCCACCTACTACTTCATGAGCCACATCATGCTGGTGACCAATCTGCAGAGTGCCTACTCCGCCTACGAAAAGCTGTCCTTTCCCTTTAGTCCGCTGCTGTGGCGAGCCACTGGATTGGTCCTGATCCTGGCCTGCATGTTTGTGATGATGGTGGTGCGTTGGTGTCGTCACCACGAATTGCCAAGGAATCCATACTACGAGTTGTTGGTCCTGACAAGCGGTGGAAATCTGGAGGACCGTTGGCTGCCACAAAGGTTTCCCGGGAGATTGGTACTGCTCACCTGGCTGTTTGCCTCCTTGGTTCTTAGGAGCGGCTACCAGTCGGGGATGTATCAGCTGCTGAGACAGGACACCCAAAGGAATCCACCACAAACTATTTCGGAAGTGCTGGCCCAGCGTTTCACCATTCAGTTGGCGGAGGTCAACGAGGCAAGGATCCTGGCCAGCTTGCCGGAACTGAGGCCCGAGCAACTGGTTTACCTGGAGGGCAGTGAGCTGCAATCCTTTCCAGCGCTGGCCCAGCAAAGTGGCTCATCTGCCCGGGTGGCCATTCTAACGCCCTACGAGTACTTCGGTTACTTCAGAAAAGTGCATCCGGTGAGCAGGCGATTGCACTTGGTGCGGGAACGCATCTACACCCAGCAGCTGGCCTTCTATGTGAGGCGCCACTCGCATTTGGTTGGTGTGCTGAACAAGCAGATCCAACATGCCCATACCCATGGATTCCTGGAGCACTGGACGCGGCAGTATGTCAGTGCCGTGGACGAGAAGGACGAGAGTGTGGCCAGGATAGCCTCCACATCCTATATCACCCTCGATGGCATCGATGGCGATCCCAGTCTATCGGAATCGGAGGAGCAGCAGGTGGCTCCCGTGCGCCAAAACGTACTCTCAATGCGGGAGCTAGCTGCTCTCTTTTGGCTCATCCTCTGGGCGAATCTCGGAGCGGTGGTCGTCTTTGTTCTGGAATTGCTGTTGCCCAAAATGAAACTCAGGAAATTATTAGGCAAAATGAATAGTAACATAAAAAAGTCTATTTCTAAGTTGGTTAGAAAATAGGGAACAACAAAGATACACAAAATCTTAACAAACGAAGAAGCAAAAAATTATGTTGTTATTAACATTAAAGTGACGATAGTAATTTCTTAAAAATGTGCACTTCAGAGAATAATACTGATTACCCTGCTCGGAAGTGCCACGTTCCTTTGCGAGAAGGCATAAATAATGCCGGATTTATTTGCGGGCCAGGCGTTTTAATTAAATTACTTCATAATCCGCAGAGTCGACGGGAGTCAGTGCCCACTCCCACTCCCACTTCCACTCAGGCTGCTCCTTCCACAGTAAAGGACATCCCCTTCAGCTGCGAGGATGGCTTCCAGGATAGTTGGCCAAAGTGTTCGCTGCTCGTATCGTAAAAACGCAAAACGTTTTATCTAAAAGCGATAAATTTTGAAAACCAAAACTTGCGCTGGCGAATCAACCCCCACCGATCTGCCACCCCAACGAATAGTTGTCCTTCGCCCCAAACCGAGCTCCCAAAACCCCCAAACCCCCAAAACCCCCAAAAACCGCCCCCAACCCGCCACACACATAGACATCAATTTTGTGTGTGCTTCTTGCCGGCAATCCTTGCAACATTTGCGGCTGCCGTTGTCGCCATCGACTGGTTACATGTAAGTGCTGCCATTGCCCCCGTGAACCCCTCACCCAACCCCATCCTGGGCAATCTCTTGCTGCTTTGCTTATCGCCTCGCACATTTGAGCTTTTTGAAATTTCTCGCCACAAAAACTGTCTGTAATGGGCACAACGTTGCCCGGCTTCGGCTTCATGCACTCACAAAAAAATCTCCCCTCAATGAAAGTAAATACTTGCGAAACTACGAACTACTGTGAACTTGATGTGTCCGTGTAGAAACTGTAAGGATGACCAAGTGTACTGAAACCGCAGCTTGATCAATATTTATAAAATATTGGTATCACAAACTATAGTTTTGCGTGTTGTTTGCCAGCTTCCCTGCCTCCACGTGCCCCCAACTTTCCGACTCATCCTTGGGAGCCAACTAGTCAACGACATCGTCTTCGTCCTTGTCGTTCGCTGGAAATTCAAGTAAATGTATTGAACTTAAGCTCATTGCCTGCGATGTCGTTTTCGAAGCAGTCGCAGTCGGCGTCCGAGGCGATACATCCCATCCAGCAACCAGCAACCAGCATCTACCAACCCCCTCTACATCTTCCATTTCGCAACCGATTTTCCACACCCAACCCCCCCACCTCTTTAATACGCTGTGCTGTTTAGGGAAAAATCAAGGAAAAAGGAGCGAAACTTTATGCAATTCCTTTTATAAAATGTTTCCTATTTTTGGCTTTCATGCATCATTCACAGGAGTGAGAGGGATATTTAAAAGGTTATGTGGTTTTGAAATATAAAATATTTATGTAAATGCTATATTAGATGGAAATATGAGTTAAGCTTCGGGCTATGCACAATCCGGATTTTTTCAATCAATTACGAGCAACGAAATTTAAATGAAATGCTCTTGTCATAGGCCAACATCACTCATACGCCATGTAAGCCAAAATAAATGATTTCAAATGGGTGCTCTGTCCAATGGCGCGACTTCAGCGAGCTCCACTTGCAGATCCGTTACCCAGCTTTTTGCAGCTCAGTCTGAACTACTCTCGGCAATTGCCACTGCCACTGCCACTGCCACTGCCACATCCTCGTCCTCATCCTCATCCTCATCTCCATCCATTGCCGCAATACTTTGGCTCGTTTGGCAATGAATTTTTATGGCGCGACTTTTACGTCAGCATCAGCCAGGGCGCAGGGGCGTGGCTGCAGGGGAGGGCGGGAAAAATGTGCAAACCTAGCCCCAAAGTCGGAATCTGATGGAGCGGAACCCTTCAAGGCGAGACATGGCTGCTCGCTAAACAAACATATTCATGACGATATTATGCTCGCCCATCCACAGCGCTGTTGCACTTCAAAATTTGCATAGACAATGTGGGCGCGGGGTTGCGTACTAAAAAGGGCAGCGGGCTGGTGGATCTGGTCTAGGAATTGTCCTTCTAATGGCTGCCCGACTGCAGCAACTGCCAATTTCCGGCCGCGAAATTACATCTAATTACCTAATCAACGCAATTATGGTGCAACCTGCGGCCTCACCCACACCCACACACATTTGCACGCAAGCGGACAGGATGAAGGGACAACTCCACACATATACACGCGCAGGATAAAGGGACTCCCGCGGCCTCACACGCATTCCGGGTTGGTTGCTGCAGCGGAAGTTGGCCAGACGCAGCAGCAACCTCGCCATCACCATCGCCATCACCATCATCGCAATCGACATCGACATGGACATCGACATCGGCAACATTCGATGAGGACGCGGCTTAGGAGCAAGTTCGCTGCACAGCCGCCACATCCGGCCACGCCCCTTCCTGCCCACTGGGGCAGCGGTAGCAAGCGCCGCACAATGTGGCAAATGTTGGCCACTCATTACGGATTGTCGAGGTGCCAGCCGGAATCCCCTGGCTGAGTCCCAAATCCGAAATACACCAGATTCGGAGCACTTGAGCAATTAAATTTGAAGAATTTAAAACAAAACAGGACTTTAAAATATGAATACCAAGCTTCATTGCCAAGCGCCATTGAGTTCCGAGCTAAGGCTTGGAACATCCAACATTTAATTGGTAATCCCCAGGAGAGCTCCAGCTGCGATCCGTGCGAGAGTTCATTGATCCCGACCTGGTTGCCCGGCCAGCTGCACATGTGGTCTCCACTCAATTATCCGGCGTACATTCGTTAGCGCATTACGGCTTCTTGCGTTGCGGATACTTTGCCGGACACTGTGCCGTCTCCTGTTGCTGGCCATCGTCCACGGTTAATATCCTGTGTCAACTGTAGTCCATTCAATTTGCATTTTTGCAATTATTTCAATTAAATCGACAAAAGAAAGCGTCTGCTTTCCGCAAGGCAAGGCGAGTCCGCCAAATGAGTCGATGATGGTGGAGATGGAGGGCGGCTGGAATGGGATCGGCCGCCCGGTGAGGAATATAATTTCCTTGCGCCGGATGTGACAATGAATACGCATTAATAAGTGCATACAAACGGACACACACACACTAATTATATAGCAACAGTGATAAGTGATAAGCGTCTGCAGCATTAATGAATAAAAAGGAAATAATAATTCTTGCTTACATGAAATAGTAATTCAAGCTGTAGTTTCTTCAATTCTCTGCACATAGGCATATGTATATGTACATTTTTTGTATTTTTTAGAGCCCACGGTGCGTGGGTTCCAGCTATAATTTATTCATGGGATTTTCTAGTGCCCCACGCCCACGGTGGGATATGTTTACGATTTTTGAACTCCCGCCGAGACGGAGCGAATCAAATCCAATCGGGTCGCATTCTTTTGTTGCCATTGACGTTGCTGCCGCGTGCCTTCCGGTGGGTAAATTGATATGGGCTCAGTCGCCAGCCACCCAACCACCCAACCACAGACGCTGCCCATTCACACACAAGATGCCAAGAACGGAATGCGGCATGAATGGCGGGCTAATTTTGTGGAGCGCAACGGGCGGCGTGCTTTTAACAATATTAATATGCAAAATAAAATAAATGCCGGCAAATGAAGGATAACGCGGAGACAAAGCGCCGACAAGAAATGACATAATAAACGAATGAAGCTGGCAATTTTACTTCGCGCAGCGGGAAATTGAATTTGGTCCACTCTGGCACTCCAGAAATGCGTCATTCGGCATATACTATAGTTGCATGTGTATGCGCGGTCCTGGTGTCGTATACGTAATGTGATTATAGCATGCTGCCAGGGTTGCCAACGCCACCGCAGTTGCCACCACAAAGATGAAATTATATGATTTGAATAATAATCGAATTAGAAAATCACAGAGACGCATATTGTACATGCCTGGCATTTTTCGACCGACTTAAGGCCGCCAAACTCGTTTATATGTAGGTGTTAATATATGCAGATTATTATTGCTTCGGCATATAGAAACTAGCCGCCTTCTTGGGCAATCGATAACTTGTGACATATATCCCCCACAGCCATGGCCTCATCCCCATCGATTTGTGCAATTAAGTGCCATAAATTTGTGAAAACTAGCATCTCCCAGGCCATTTGTTTGGCTCAAGTGGAGGCAGATTCTGGATCCTGAGCACCCAGATCCTGGCAAGTGGCGAGTAAAGTTGAGCACATGCACAGTGGGCTGCCTGACAACCGTTTCTTGAGAGCATTTATCAACAGCCAATAAATGGTACGAAGAAACAAGCTACAGGACTTACGAATCGTACATATACTCGTAATTCGGTATTTGCTCTCGATATTCGCTCTCGATATCTGCTCTCGATATGTGCTCTCGATATGTGCTCTCGATATTTGCTCTCGATATGTGCTCTCGATATTTGCTCTCGGTATTTGCTCTCGATATGTGCTCTCGATATTTGCTCTCGATATTTGCTCTCGATATTCGCTATCGATATTTGCTCTCGATATCTGCTCTCGATATTTTCTCTCGATATCTGCTCTCGATATTTTCTCTCGATATCTGCTCTCAGTATTTGCTCTCGATATTTGCTCTCGATATTTGCTCTCGATATTTGCTCTCGATATTTGCTTGTGAAATAAGTGATGTACGAGTATAGTGATCCTGCTCCACTGTAGCTTGCGAACTATGTCTAATGCTCTCGACATTTGTCGCCTTCAAATGGTTAACAAGTTTCTGCAAACATCGACAGACATCATTACTTACCACCCTTTGCCGTTCTCCGCTTTCTCCGCCTTTCTCCGCTCCCAGCTTCTGCGCTTTCTCCGCTCCGCTTTCTCCGCTCCACTTTCTCCTCCCGCCGCTCGGTTGTAATCATGTGAATCCGCTTAAGCTGCCGAAGTGTATTGTGCGTCATTATTCTCTCTCGTGCCATTAGACTTGAATAGTTTTTCCATACTAAGAAGTTAAAAGGAGCGCATAAAAAGAAAAAAACACAAGAACGTCGAACGCAAATCGCATCGTCGACTTTGCTGCTCATCAGTTGTTGCTGCACTTCTGCGAATATCTAAAAGTACACTGTAAAAAAGCCCCGAGCTGCTTTCAATTTTAAAATGTCTCATGTCTTCTCTTCAATTTGCAAATGCACTTAACTTACATGCTATTATTGACTAGAACATATTTATTTATTTATTTGCATACACTTATTTCTATATATTTATTTGTATATATTTATTTGTATATATTTATTTGTATATATTTTGAGCAATATTTTTTCAGCCTGCAGAAGTGTCACCGTTCTCTATTTTCTGCACTTGTGTGGGAGTTTGCTGCGATGCCCCCTTGATGATGATAACGACACTCGACTGCATTTCCACTTAAGTGTTCGCCTTTTTTCGCACCATCACACACTTTTCCACTCGCACCACTCATTTTCCGGCATCTTGATCAACTGTGTTTTTTGTTTTTTTTGCCCCCGCATTCGACTGTTTTCCGTTTCAATTTGGGTTTTTATTTCATTTTTGCAACAATTGTGGCCAATTTGGCTTAATTGTTTTTATTAAGAGTTCGCCATCCAGCACCGCCCACCGCGCCACGCCCTTTGTCCCACCAATTTTCAGCCACCCAACAATGCGTATAAATAAATCACTTGAATTTTATTGAGCCTCGCCTCTCGTTTTGCCGTGCAAAATTGCATTTTAAATGCATCCACAAATTGAAAATTGCCATAATACCATATGCACATGTGTGTGTGTGTAAGTGTGTGCGTGTATGTAAGTGTGTGTGTGAATGGGCGAACTTTTGCTTTGGTAGAACGTGCCTCATTATAAAGATCAATGACATGTTCGGAACAGATATTAAACGCCATTTGAATGTAAATTGTTGCTCTTTTCATTTTCATATGCGTGAGAAAATAATTCAAAAAGTAGTCTTTAAATATAGTTAAAGTAGAGCCCTGCCACAATCTGAATTAATTTGTTTATTTAAAGAGTAGTGGGCAGCGCAACTTCAGTAAGCAGATTCAAAACAAATATTCAAGTGTATATTATAGTCTTATTTAATGTATTTTATTGGCTGAAAAGTCCACATATTGAGTAATGCTGGATTTGGTTAGTGTGAAAAAACTGTTGCCAATATGATAATATAATTCGACGTATTCATAAATCATCATGCTGAGAGGTACAGGTATCGTATCGGGACGGTATCGGACTGTGTATAGAAGACATATCTGTAAGAGAAGGACATCTTAGGTTAATCCTACTCGGGTTTCTTATTTGTAGATACCAACCTTGTAAGCAAACGAGAAGACTAGTGTTTGTAGCTGGTTTGACATGAGTAATCTTGAATATATAGCATGGTAATAATAATATGGTAATATATAGCACTATACCATTACTTATTGATATTACTTAATCCACTTATTGAGTAATGCCGGATTTGGTTTGTGTGCAAAAACTGTGTTGCCAACATGATAATGTCATTCGACGTATTCATAATTCATTGTGCTGAAGTGGTACAAAATCGGGATGGAATCGCTCAGCTCCCAGTAGACTGTGGATAGCAGATAGATTTATCTGTAGGGGAGGACATCTTAGGTTTCTTATTTGTAGATACCAACCTTGTAAACGTATGAATGCGAACGAGTTCGACTGTGTGTCAAGTTTGTCATGAGCAATCCTGAATAAAGGGCACATTTTGCATTTAATACATGGCAATTCTATTGCAATTAAATGATACTACCTTGTTGTAATGTGAAGAAGTCGTCGTGTGCCTTATTCACGACGACGTTCTATATTTTTGATTCCTTGAAAGCAATCAAATGGAGGGCAGCTGGCGAACTTCCATTCACCAATTTTGCAAGATTATGAAATGTGTAAGCCCCCAATCACAAAAGCTAAAATCCAAATTAGTGTTTTTCTTCACTTAGTCTTTTAGTAGTTCAAGATTTGTTAAAATTTTTATAAAACATTTTTACTGAAAATTTTTATGGAGATGTTGTTCCGTCGAGCCCAAAACAAAACTGAAAATATTTGAAGCCTTCGGTCCTTGGGTGGAAATCCAAGTCGGAGCTGACATCGAAGTTGAAGTCATGGCCAACTATATGGAATTTCATGGCTCACTATATCTTTGCTGAATTGCTGTTATTAGGATCATTAAAGGCATTTGTAATAATGTGATATATGTACAATGACCCCAGATAATTTCCACATTGAACATTTACATATCAAAATATTTAATTGACGATTTAAGAATACACATGTACACGAAGTTCAAAGACGATTTGGTAAATAAGATGACCAGACAGATTAGTAAGACGCCATTAAAAGCCAACCCAGGAACACAGCTGGGAAGGATCACCGACTCTTGTGGCCCGTCTCATTGTCCTGGCACTGCGATTGGGATGTCGATGGCGGTGGCGTTGGAGGGGAGGAATGGGAGGCGCCGGTCTGGACCAACAGCTCCAGCCGCTCAAGTTCCTGGTCGATGCGCTCCTTGGCCCGGAAGACCTTAGACTGAATGTAGAAGGTACCGCCGCTGGACTTATCGTTCGCGCGAAACAAGTGCTGGTAGTGCGTGTCTATCGCCTGGCGGTCACTGAGGTCAGTCAAGTTGAGGATCTGCTGTGCCTCCCCAAGGGTCATTCCCTTGGCCAACGTGCTCCTGCCGCTGCTGGGCTCGTTGGCCTTCAGCGACTCCTGGATGCGGGCCGCATCCTCGAAGGCCTGCAGCTCCTGCCGCATCGTCTTAACCAGCGCCCGCCCAACCGCCTGGGCACCCAAGATGATGATCTGTGCTAGGTAGCGTGCCATTTTCTGCTTTGTCTATAAGGAATTTTGCGGGCGATTGCGTAGAGAGCTCCAAAAGTATGTCCTGAAAATAATACGAATTTACTTGTGATGAAAGTGGCTCGATTGCTTCGTGAAAAAATCGAAAAAAATCATCCGATTGTGATATTTTAAGAGAAAATCATATTTTTCTTTACATTTTGTGAAAATGTTTTGCCACTGAATTAAACCATTCTTAGCTAACAACCCACAGATTTTAAGCCAATTTGGTTTGTCTTTCCACATTTCACACAGAAAATGATTCACTTTATGCAAACAATACGGCGCCTGCAAGCTCTCAAATTCAATTTAACAAAATATTCGAAGAAGTTTCTACTGGTGGACAAATGCCCCCCACACTTGTATCAAGTTTCACTTTTGACTGCATTCGGTTCGATTTAAATGTTTAAGATGATGTTTTCATTTTTAATATACACACATAGCACTACACCCATTGAACTCCTGACGCACTCAAGTGTCTAAAAATGCCAAAGAACGGCTTACACTTGCACAGATGCGGTCAGAATGGTAGCATTTTATGGCATTGCAATTATTTGTAATCATTATCAGAATAAAATAAAGTGCTTCAGAGTGGGAGAATGCATTTCAACAACGAGAATATTGTGTTGCAGAATAATGCGGAGCACGATTTCGGTTGCACAGCAGTTTAAATATTTATATATATATGAATATATTAATGTAAATATTTAAATATTATGTTACTTATTTAAATGCATTTTATATTAATAATATGCTTGTGTACCTTACTGCAAGATCCAATAAAATATATTTATTACCTCTACATATTCACCACCTCCGTTCCTTAAGATTCAAAGACTCCGAGATAGCTGAATGAATGAAATCAAAACGTTTCCTTGCTCTGATTTCCAGCTTCCGTATCCGTTCTGGAGGCTTTTTTGCATCTGTGTGCGTGTGTGCTTGTGCGTGTGTGTGTGTGTGTGTGTGAGTAGCTCGTAAACAAATTATACGCAAATTGACAGACTTCCGGCCTTATGACCAGGCGGACATCAAGTAGCTTAGTCTCCAGTCTCCTGGATGCGACAGTCCCATTTAACCGGGGCACGTACTCTCCCCGGAATATCCTGTGTGTGGTGACTGGGGGATTGGGTGAATATTAACATAATTACAATAATGACTTGTTGCCGTAAGGGTACGGCTACTACTGAGCTCTTCGCAATTTCAGAATTTGGCTAACAAAGATGGAGTTGGTAACCCTGGCTGCCAGAGTCGCCATCACATTCCCCACCGCAAATGCACAACAATGGCTTTCTGGCCATTTGCCGTTAAAATTCACAAACTGTAATTGATCACATTTGCGTTTGTCGTTTGATTTCATTGTCTTGTGCGTGAGACCAAAGTCTCTCAGCCCCGCCCCCGCCCCCGCCCCGCCATTTTCCCGCCCACTTTTCCAATTCGGGAGCCACAGTTGATGGTCAGCGGCTGTTGTTGCCGCTGGTCGGGGCTCATTCATTATGCAAACACCTCGACATGGCTATCTAAACGTGGCCAGGTCTGATGCGCTAGGCAACACTCAGAAAAAATTGTAGACTCAACCAGCGGATGGAGAACAAATTGAAATTGAAAATTTTAAAAATATGTAAAAATGTTTGATTACAAAAATATAAATTATATTTTACTAATGCAAAATGATAAACGCTTGTTGTAACAACTAACAGACACTCAAAGGAACATTAGATGTTCTGAATAAATTAAATTGATAATTGCATCTTTCGGATAGTTTTTCTCCCACTGCAGAAGAGCAGCCCGCAACTGCCTTTTGCGATTAGTTGCCATTTAAACTGCTGTTACCGCCCCTGAATCCTCGTCCGATGCCCAGTTCCATTTTGAATCCGAATCGTTGGGGTTTTTTCCGGGTGTTTTTTTTTTCGGCGAATGGGCCTCGGTAGTGGACTCCATCCGTTCGTCAGTTGTGTCCGATGGCTAGCCGCCATAGCATTTTGATTTCCGCACTGCATCCGGCAGTTTTAATCCCCAGACAGCAGTGTTGCTGTACTCGGAACTACTCTATTCCGGCATCGCCATCGATACTCTACCTAAAATGGACAAAAAAGTTTAGGTGTAAATGCAGCAAGGCATCTAGATGAGCTGCAACTGCGGTGTATTACCTATCAGTGCTATTATTGTCAGTGAAATTGCTTTAGCATAACTCAACGATATTGTCGGGATTCAAGGGTCGCGTTCACCAGCTATTTATTAGCTGATATAACCCTTTCGCATAGAGAACTGTAGCTACCAGAGCAAGGGAGTCAGGGAAAATGCGAACAGTTCACTATTTACCACACACGCAACGTGGGATCCTCTGCAGCGTGGTGGGTGTGGGTGTGGGCATGGGTGGTGCTCTATTGGCGGTGGTGGCCATCGGTGATGCATGGCCATTGCCATGGCGCTGCAAAATGCTGCTGCCTGGCCGTCCAGTTGGTCCGGCCATTCAGTGTCACATTCATTGCCATTCATTCGCTGCTGCAGTTCGTGGTTGACCCATCACCCATCCCCCACCACCCAGTCACTCATCTACCCTCTGGCCCCACCACCGCCCCCTGCGGGATGATGCTTGCTGTTGTTGCTTGTGGCTAACATGCAAGCTTAGGATTTGGAAAACAATTTCACTGTTAGTGGAATGTCAACGTCAGGTCTCGCTCTGCCAGCGGCTATCCCGCCCCGCCCACTGCGTAACATACCCACCTCCCACTGGCGCCCACTGGCGCCCACCTCCCCCTTTAATGGTCAGAAATTTTAGGCGCGATGCGTCGCACACATCACTAATTAGTGATGTGCAATAATCGTGCCAGTGTGTGCGTGTGTGTGTGTAGGGCTAGTAGGGTGGCTTAGTGGTGCAGTGGCTCAGTAGCTCAGTGGCTCAGTGGATGGGCGGCACACAGAGCGAATATCTTATTTGCGTGGCTTAGTGGGTGTTTCATTTAATTGGGAATTAATTTCAAGTGCTTGGGCTACATTATTTTGGGCCAGTATCCAAAGAGATCTGTCTTGCTGCTGCCTAAGAACATACAAGCTTGCGAATTTTGTTTGAGTGCACTTTAGCCGTGGGTGAGATTTCGACATTGGTTCGGTTCAAAAATTGCGACATTGTTAATCAACTGTGCGTGTCGCATAAGTTGCATTTGCTTTCGGTCGCTTGGTCGGAATGGATTGCATGCGATTGCCGTTCGGTGGGTTAAGGCGGGGAAAAAGGGGTTAAATTGGGCACTGGGTTGTGTGATTGGTTTCCATGCTCCAGAGGGCGAAGCCAACTGACTCCACAGAACCGGGCATCCGAAATAATGAATTGGGAATTAATTATTCTCGGCCGATTTGAAGGTCGCTTTGATGAGCGTGGGAAGATATCTCAGTAGTGGAACTCGGTTTATTACTTTCTAATGCATTTTTTGTTATAATATTCACAGACCTTCATCGTCGGAATTGCTGCAGAGCTTTTTTAAACCGACTGAGGATGGTTTTCATCCCGGTCATATTTATGGTTAGCCATATTTTCATTGCTCGTTACTGAGTTTTAAGCATTCTGCGGCTTTTTATTCGAAATCGGTACTAGGTTTCCACGGCTTTCAGTGAATAAATGCAGTCTGACGGGCAGTGAAAAGGGCATGGCGGTGATGCAGCTGCAGAGCTGCGGAATCAGCCAATATGGTTGCCTTTAATTGGCCAGAAAAACAGCAAAAGAGCTGCGGGTCAGCCTAATTGAAATTTCATGTTGCGAAAGTAAGTGAGGGCCGCTGGCCGGGGGGGAAATCAATGAGGGGCGATTGCGAGCTGCCGTTTTCCGCGATTTGTTATCGAGTGGAGAAGAAAAGCACAGCTTGGAAAGATTAACCCAAATAAAGAACAATTTAACTCAATAGTGCTCAAATATTATTTAAAGCCCAGCCGGCCTGGAATCCAATGTCAACAGCCAGATTCTTGAAGGCAAACGTTGCCCATCCAAAGCAGTGTATTCGAACTGAAACGGCATTCGGTTAGATCATCCGTTCCATTCAACTAAATTCGAGTTTTTTTCATTTGCAAAGGATATAGATACATCGCGAGAGGGATTCGGCAATGGCCCACATGGAGCACAATCGTCGCAATGCCCGCGCAGAGGGCATGGGTCTTGGTGGTGGCGATGCGGACAACAGTGCACTGATGCGCCGCACCACCGCACCACCGTTAGCGGTGCAGCACGCAAGAACTGAGCCGATGGTGGTGGAGCCACCGGTGGAAGCTTCCCTTCGCTCGACGAGGCCATCCAGCCAGCAGCAGCCCGTTGATCGCGATCGGTTGGCCAACCCAGAGCAAAGCTGTCGCGGATCGGTTGCCGAATCAGCACATCCATGCAGCCAACTTCCAGTTCATGACCGACCCAATCAGCTGGTGCGCTTTTGTCTGCGCCTGGGCTACAATGCGCTGCTGTATCCGTACGAGATGGCCAAGGTGCTCATCCAACTGGGCCATGAGCCGCTCCAGGCGAGCCCCTTCCAGTTGCGGCTGATTCAACAGCGGCCCCGCCTCTTCCTGCCCAGTGTCCATCGGTATGTGCAGCACATCCAGCAAATAGATGGCTACTCGGGTATGTATCGCGGGTTGCCGGCTCGCCTGGCCGCCAGCATAGTGGACTATTTGCTTGGCGATCTTCTGCTGGCTGCCCTGCACTTTGCTCCCTACAAGAGAGGCCCCGGCGAGGGACTGAGCCTCAAGGAGTTCTGGTGGAACCTGACCAGGGACAGCCTGCGCCTGGCCATCGCAGTGGTCATAACGCAACCCTTCTACGTGGTCATGGTGCGCCAGATAGCCCAGTTTGTTGGTCGCGAACGCGTCTATGTGGGACTCTTTGGCAGCCTGATGACTCTTGCCAAGCAGCAGGGATGTGCCGGACTGTTAGCAGGCGTGGTGCCCCGCCTACTGGGCGAGTGGAGCGTCCTTGTCGTGACCAGCGCTCTGAGTCACCTGTGCCGTCGCCTCCTGCCCATTAGCCACACCCAGCAGCAGTACAATGCCGTGGTCATCCAGATGATGGCCAGCCTAGTGGCCTATCCACTGGAGGTTACCTCCGCCTGCATGGCTGGAGCCGGAGCACCATTGGCCGCCTGTGAGCCGCCAAGCATGCCGCTCTACCACCACTGGGTCGACTGCCTCTCGGATCTCTACGCCCGCGGTGGGCAAAACCGCGGGGCCATCCTCTTTTGGCGCACGGTGCCCAGGATCCAGTTGCTGCGCCACAAGGATGGTCACTCTGCCAGATCGGGATAAATGTGGAGAAGCCGCTGGGAGTCAGTGGAGAATGAAGAGTTCAGAAGTCGAGAGTTGAAGGCGAAGAATCGAATGTTAGAGAGTCGAGAATATGCTAGTTAAATAGAATGAGTTATGAAGGGATATATACTCGTATATGGAAGGAGCTACAGAATAGAATAGTAAAAGGCAAAACAAATATGAATTGTACATTTTGGATCGTGAAGAAAATTGCAAGTTAATAAAATTTACAGAGCAGAATGTGGAGTGAGCGGAGCACAGCTATTCAAAAAAATAATGATCAGCGTTCAATGTGCTCTATGTAATACTAATAATTACTATTAAATATAGTTATATTATAACAAAAGCGAACAATGCCCCAACCGTTCCACCTTTGCAACTTAGCGTGTCATTAAGCAAACAGTCAACAAAGCCACCCAGCACTCAACCGACGTATTTGGGCCACGAAGAGAGCTCAGATGGATGATGAGGCCGCTTGGCAGAAGAAAGGACCCCCAGTTGAGTTGTAGATTTGCACATCCTCCTGTTGTTTTCGCATTCATAAGCTTGTAAAGCTGCAGGCCGCTCTTTATCTGTATCTTTTCACTGGGGTTGCTGCTGCTGCTGCTGTTTCACCAAATGTCAGCAGAGATTAAGCGTCTGAAATCCGGGCAGAATGGAACTAACCAAGGCCAGGACACATGTACGACATTCTATGTACTCCTTAACCCCCGACCCATACATGCATGCATGTATGCACATACAGTGAGTGTACACCCACACCCACACAATGAGGCGTAACTGGCAGATGCACGTAATGAAAATATCAAAAATCTACAACGAAATGTGCCAACAGGATTTCAGTGGCCAGTGGCGTGCGGCAAGGGGGGCAGAAGGGGGGCGATGGCTCAGACACAATTCAGTTTTGGTTCATTTGAATGCGACACATTTGCGGGCCACACTTCGGTGGGCAGAGGGTAGCATTCGGCACTCGGGTCCTTCGAAAGCGAGCCAAGCCACATTTCAGATATTGTAATCAGTTGTTAAACATTTTTTTGCATTCCCTTCAAGTACTGAATATTTGAGTAGCCCAAATTCTCACTTAGGCAGTAAGCCAATAACACAGCACAGGGTATTTCCAAGTCCGATGACAATCGGCAATCGATTACCTAAATGCCAGTTATGCTCGGTTGTTGCTGTTGCAAGTTGGTCAGGTTCATTTGGGCCAGGGAAATCAAGAGTCAAAAGATGGACCTCCTACATCTTCCATAAACGTTGCAAAATTACTAGTTATTACATGGCGTGTGTGTGCGTGTGTGTGTGTGTGTGTGTGGTTTCGCCGTGTCCTTGTGTGAGTGTGTATCTGTGTGACGATGACAGTGCAGTGGGTATAAGTCGTATCGTCTTAATAACCAAAAAAAGGCATCAGCCGTCAGGCTTTGCAGGACTACAAGGACTACGTGTCCTGCAACATTCACGCATGCCTGCATATATATATATATATACATATTTGGATGTATAGTGAGGTGGATGTAGTGGTGCGGTATATCTCGTGTGTGTGTGTGGGCAACTGTTGAGCAGAACACGATTCTGTTGTTACTGTCGCCTGGCAAAATGCAATTAGACTAACGATGCAACACAATTTTGTCTTCAGCTTCATAAAGATGCGATGCTCGGGATAAAGGAGGCGGCCATATTGGGCGGCCAGTTGACATGGTCAGATGGTCAGTGGAAAATCGAGGGGTTGACATGGACTTCCATATAGGGCGGTCTAAAATTCTCATTAGATTGCTGAAAAATGTAAAGCCAAACAGCCACAACCAAATACTAGTTGGCATTTATGTGCAGTATACAGATTTGGGCTTGTTATTAATCCCATATTAAATTTTATGTATTTCATTACATACTAATGAAATGCCCTTATTTTCGCACAAACCTCGCACACTAAGCTGAACAGCAATTTCGTGTTTCAATTTTTGCCCAGCTGTGTGTATGTGTAGCGGATATGCTGAACAAAGTCAGGCATTTGCATGGATAACTTGTGGCTTTGTCTTGGCCTCAACTTGGAAAGCTGCTTGTTTCTGGGCAGAGAACTAATTGCCCTGCGTTCGGGGTTAATTAACATTAATATCGAGTCAATTATTAAGTCAATTATGAATTATTATTGGAATCAGATCAAATTAAAGCCCATCTGTATCCGTTTCCAAAACGATATGAATACATATGCATATGTGTGTATCTGTGTGTGTATCTGTGTGTATAGGGCTGTGTGTTAAGGGCGGGAATAGGAAAATATAATTAACACAAGCCACTAAATGCATGTGTGTGGTTCTCTTGGTTGTATTTTTTGTTGTGCTCTGCCAGTATAGGTTATGCATTATTATGAATAGTCCCATATGTTCCACTTAATGAAATCTCTTTGAAATGCCCGTAATGTTATGGTTTTACGTATAACGTCTACGTAATTTACGTTTACGTATATTTCCTTGCGAGTGTAGTGGAGTATTTTGTTAGAAACGAGTGATTTAAAACGATTCCAGGGCTGGGAACACGGTCTGTTCCCAGTGCGTGAGGAAGTGCCAGGAGGAAGTGCACGTTTCCCGGCGGTTCGCAAATATATTACGCATACGCCGCATCGGCTTCCGACTTCCGACAACAACGTCGGCGGTTTCAATTTTATAACGTTAAACCAATTAACAGGTTTTACACACAGACACACGCATTTATGAGGTGTTAATCGACGTCATTCTGATGTAAAACGCGATGAGAAGCAATATATATTTTATGGGTTGCGTAATTAAGGGGCAACAACAATAACACTCTCACACACACACACACGCACACACACACACCATAGAGCGACAGGTTAATGAGGCTCCATTGATTATGCATATGAGTTCTGCGGGTGCGGAATGCGTGCGCTTGTGTGGGTGCGTGGGCGGTATGAGTGGGAGGGGGCGGGGCAGGCGAGTGGCGGTGGCGGTGGCGGCTTCCCACATCAAATTAAAATGTTACATATGCTAATGAAATCAACCAAAATGATGAGCAATTATGAATAGCTTAATGGGATTGCCGATGACTGGCATTGGTTTCGCTTGCACGACTTTCCTTTGTTTATCCAACTCATCCTTTGAGGCGCTTTCTCCTTTGAGCTTGGCTATAAAGCGTATTTATTAAATCAGCTTGCGCAGATATTTTTTGTATTAAGATTTACTCTCCATTGAGCCATTTGTAATAGCGTGTTTGCTGCAAATCTAACATGTGCAATTTTGCGTTTGTTTATTGTACGCCCCCATTGACACACTTTCACCACTGATTTCTGTGCTAAAGCAAATTTTTGGAAATGGTGCTTTTTGCCAGGTGAGCAGCCAGGTGTAAATTACAAAACTTGTGAGATTTTCCCTGGCATTTCCTCCGCGGGCGGGGGACGATGATGACGATGATGGCACTCCCGACACGACTGTCGTCATAGCTGGCTGCCCCGGATCTCGACTCGAACGTAATGCCAACAATTACGCAGCTGAATATTTTATGAGCCAAGCAGATTAATATGAATATTTTATTATCATTTTAGATTCCTTATTTCCCATTCTCGGCTCGCAAGGAGCACGGATGCGGGGGCCAAAACCAAAAAGGAAGCGCCAAGGCAAAGTCAACTCGGAAATATGCTTTGTTTGGGTTTTCCCTGTCAGGACATGCCGCTCCAGATGGAGCTACTTTTATAAACATGCAGCCTGTTGCAATATGTGCACCAAACTCAAATATGTTCAACATACATTTACAAGGTTTTCTTTAATTAATTGGCGGCTTCTCGCCCTTTATTATTTGGCTTACATAATCAGAATCTTCTGGTTTTTTCTTGCGCCAACAAGCATACTGCAAGAATTAATATTTTGATAGTTGTCTTCATTTTAGCTTTTTAAAATAGCATTGCGCGCTGCAGAGCATTTACTGCTCGACTTTTTCCTGACGGAATTTAATTTTTAGCTGCCTTGGCTGACTCTTGATGCTGCCACAGTTTTTTGCACCTTGGCAGACGAAAATGTTTGTGCCGGCCCCTTGCCAATGGCAAACAAAAAAGCAGGGCAAGGAAAACGAATAAATGAAAAACGCAGGACTCGCTGGGAAAGGCGGCTGGGAAAATGTGGTGAGAACGGAATTTATGACCACGAGCCTTCAAAGGGCCAAGTTGCCTAAATGTTTTTTTCTTCGCAGTGCCAGCTTCAGACAGGCAAATAAAAACGGGCCAAAACAAATTGTGGCCCAGAGAGCCGGCCTCGTCCTTCGTCCTTCGTCCTTCGCCCCATTCCCCATCCTTAATTCGCAGTCAAAACCAGAAAGCCACTTGGAAATGTGTAGGGTGCAAAAAATTAAAAAAAAAAAATGCTGAAGAAAGTCGAAACATTTTCTTTCATTTGTTGCGTTTTAAATTTTCATGCGCAGCGAGTGCCGGCAATTACCAAGGCCTAAACTATATAGTATATATACGTATGTATATAGTTTTCAGTTTTCAGTTTTGGGGAATCGAGCTGGGAGGCAGGCAAATAATAACGTCGTCATGTATAAATTGCCTGCCACGCCCACAGACGACTTGGTGGATTGGCGGAGGCATCTCTGATTTATGCAGCCCATAAAATTGCCTGGCGTGTAAAAAGCGGAGGAAGTCGATGCTGAAGAAGTGCAGCAGCAGCAGCAGCAGCAGCAGCAATAGAAGGGAAGGGCGAGGGGAACAGTGTGATGCGGGATTGCAGTCCGAATCCAAGTCTGAGATGGCTTAGCTCCGGGCTGAAAGGAGCTCAACGTGTTGCGGGTGCAGGCGCAGGATGTCTGTCAGCTCGGCCAAAGGGCGCACCTAATCCCAGTGCCGCCGTCGTAGGGGAACTAGTTCCTCCAGCTAAATCCTACTATCGTACCATTTAATTGTGCTAAAGGCTTTCATTTATGATTATTCATCTAGCATTAGCCACCAATCGATGCAGTCAATGAGGGAAAACAACGCATATTGGACTCGTTTTATTGGGCAAGTGTGTGAACCGGTTTGCACGCATCCTTGCCGCAGTCCTGGCCCGCTAGTCACGTAGCTTAAATGGAGTCCCTGGAGGACTCAGGGACGGAAACCGGAGGCGTTCGCTCACGTTCATGTTGGTTGGCAGGCGGCATTATAATGCATTTTCTGTTTTTTTTTTTTTTTTTGCTTTTTTGTGTTTGTGCAGCCCGTCTCTCCGGCTTTGGCTGGCACTCATTATGCGTTCATCTCCAACTCCGGAGTACGGACTCCAGACTGACAGGCCCTGAATAGGCAACAGGCAGAAGGTCTTGTGCGATTTTTCCTTGGCCGCACAAGCCTGACTGCACTTCAATCAAAATCAAATATTGCACCCGGCAAGAGGGGAAGGCAGGTGCCCGCACATACACAGTAAAAAAAAGGTGCGCATAAGATTCCGAAAATAGCGATTTAATTTATCTTCCAAATTTACAAACGATTTTGTAACATAGAGTTCTTAGACTTTAGCGTTGATTGTCCGCCAAGCTAGCGGGTGCCCCAAAAAGTATGCTATGTAAATTGTGCTTATAACGTATACGACTCGTTGGCTGCTTCTACATGACTCTCCATTGCCAATGAATGGGATTGCTTCTCAGTGCCCCATGTGCGCAGCGGCTTTTGGCCTTTGTTGTGTGCCTCAGACATGCAGACAGATATATGCAGCTGGCCATGGCTTGATTACGCACGTTTATTACTGGAAAAGAAGCAGGAATTGGTAACCGGATCGGAGAATAGGATTCGCAACGGGGCATTGGGCGTTGGGCTTTGGGCTTTGGGCTTTCGGCCCTGTGCTTTGCCATCAATATGCGTTGTGTGGCCTGGAAATGCAGAACATGATTACTTGCAAATCACCTGAATGCGCTGCGGATTATGAATGGCAATGGGTGTGTGTGTGTGAGTGTGTGTGTGTGGAGCAACAAGTGCGGGAATTATATATTTCTAATTAAAATTTGAAGCGGTCGCGCCGCTGGCTCATGAATATTAATTTCGATTTTAAGGCCGCAAACAGTGCTAACTAAACAGGAATTACAACTAAATATTTATAACTCATTTTCAGCGCGGTGCGCGCACAAAAAGATAAATAATAGACAAAGTTAAATAAAATGGATTTGCCACAAGTGAGTTTATGTGTGTGCGCGTGCCGAGCGTGAGAATACACAAAAATTAACTTGTATTTAAAATTTAATTAAAACTTTTGCTGTTATTTACATGTGCGGCCTTTACTCCGCCCAGCGCTTTTTTGGAAAATGCGAAAACTGTCGCTGGAAGGCGTGGACACTGCGCACTGAATATGCAGCTAAAATGTGGCCAAAATCATAATGCATTACATATGCATGGCCATCGGCGTACCAATTTAATTGAAATATCGTGCACAATTTTTGGTTTATTGCAGCACGAAGAAAAAATTCAAATACAGAACATCGAGTAACAACTGCAGCGGCGGAAAAAAAGAAGCGAGCGGATTTTGGCCATGGCTAACTGGTTGTTGCGGTTTTCGCGTTTAGCATAATTAGTCTTTCGACCGCATTTCGTAAAATGCGGTTGATGCCTCAATGCCCCGTTCCCATTTGTGTTATTTGGCCCAAGGCTGCTGCATCCGCTCAAACAATGGCAAAAATCGTGGGTAGTAAAAAAGCATTGCTTTCGCCCGTTTAATGTGGCTATCAGGGAAATATCATACACATCGGTTAAGTAATTTGCGGACCAGCTACTGGCCTCCAGCTTCGCCAGCTTCGCCAGCTCCACAGTCTGCCATTTGGCTATGCGGCTTATTTTTACTAAGTTACAGCTTTGTGATTTTCATAAAAAAATACGCATTTTCTGCTTATTTTCCGCTTTCCCCAACTGGCCAGCAGCTTTGCAGCCTTAAATGCACGGATGTCAGTAAACCGGCCACCCTTTAATCGAGTGACCACTGTGCTCGCATTCGAAGGGGCGCTAATGAACAGTCGTTACATGTATGAGTATGAGTATGAGTATGAGTATGAGTGTGAGTGTGAGTATGAGTGTGAGTATGAGTATAGGGGGGACCCAACTTCCTACCTTTTTGGGAGCAGGCCACAAAATCGCACTCGTAATGCGTTTGGGGGACTTCGGGCCACTCGACTGACCAGAGAATCCAGCGAGTGGCGCGCGCTTTTTGCAATTTATGGTAAATTAATTTGTAATTAATTTTTATGCGAAACAAAACGAACGAAATTGTATGGGCCAAAGTGCCATATGGCCGCAAGCAGCAATTCTGGTTGTGTTTTTATTTCTATTTTACGCTAGTTTAGTTTCAATTGCGTCCAATTAAACATGCGGCCATCGCCCAACCGCCGCTCAAATCCGCCATTTCCGATTGCCTGGTAACATCCAACATCAAATTTTACATCCCAATCCCAATCGCCACCGGTTTTCCGCTTTTCCGCTTTTCCGCTTTTCCCGCCCCCACTTCTCCACTTCTCCACCCGCCACATTTCCATTTCCATCCAGTGAAATCCTGAGCTGTGAATCCTCTGCGTGTTGCACGCGTTTTGTGTTTTTCGGAAATTGAAATTGCATATTTAAACAGGCCATTCCCACTGTGTCCATCGCACCAAGTGTATGTGTGTGTGTTTATTTTGAGTGAGTGTGGGTGAGTGCATAGATGTGTGCGTGTCGTCATTGTGGCGGCAAACGGAAATCAAGTGTGTTTTTGTTGCTGGCCCATTTCTAAGCACTTGACTGCGTTACGCATTCGTTTCTATAATTATTATTGTCCCTGTGCCCAAGGACATTCCAATTGGAATTACACTTGTAAAGGAATATTTCAATTTTATTTGCAAAATGTGGAATGATAATTTGAATGTATGTATGAAATATTTCGTTGCTGAAAATATTTGAGTTGAGGTTTCTATGTGAATAACATAATAATAAGACAGCCTTGATTTGCACACTTACTATATGTTTCAGTACAGTTTTGGTTAATCAGCTTCAATGACATCGAAGTAAGTTTTGAAATTTTTCTGAGGAAATTGTCGAAAACTTATCTGTGGCCAGGATGTTTGGCTGCCAGCGACAAAATATGAAATCCTTGGCCCACTTTCGCCCCAAACTCGACATCTGATGATGATTTGAAATTCCATTTATATCTCGGGTGCCGGATATTGGCTAAAGAGATTACCCATCCGAAACAAATCAACAACAAGCAGTAATTTTGGTTTTCATATAATACTTTCGCTTTTCATTTATTAGTTTTGCATTCATCAATTTCGTTTTCATTCGGGAAACAATGCCTTCTTCTCTCACTGCTGCTTACCCGTTCTATGCTTAGTAATTCTTGCATTTATAGTTACATATATATAGAATTTGTATAATTTATATATATATATAGTTTCTGCTCCTTTCAATTTACTTGTTTTTCATATGGCAACACAATAGTAACTTACAGTCGTAGCAAAGTGTTACCGAGTTGAGGAATTCGTAATTCGTAATTTGGAATTCGGAATTCGGAATTCGTTTCGATCCCCATAGCTTTTATACAAATAGTTAATGCTCTACACATAATCGGGGGGCCATTTAGTATGTTCCTTAGTTAGTTGGTTGTTGGCCCAAAGAAATAATTGCACAAAGTGTCGCTCGACAGCTGCGAATGTGGGAATTGAACGGATCTGATATATATATATATGTGTGTATATTCGTGTATATTATACAAACTCAGTTGGTGCTAACTGCTAAATGCTATTCAGTAACTTAGGTTCTACATTAGCCATAATACTTGTCTTTACAGCACTTTACAACACTGTTTGTCTTCAAAAAAAAAGTCATTTACTTTAGTTATATATCTTGTATATATATAGATCATTTCTGGTTTACTCATTAATTCGAATTTGATTTTCCTTGGGCTTTTCTTAGCAACACGGCTAGTTAATCAATTAATTAGTTAATTCTAATGCTTGCCTTCTAGAGCTAAATTACGTTTTGGTAGCCCATTCAGTTATTTAGTTATTTATCTAGTTGGATACTCCATGACAGTGACTAGATTTATAGATATATAGATGGCCGCTAACTGAGGATGGGATGTCCTGCCGGATCGTAAATTTCGAAGCCAAGTATATAGACGCTTATAGATGCTTTGCTTGTTTGTGTGAGTACCTATGGGTGTGGGAGTTATACATAGCCATACTATAGAGTGTATCGATTTTTGTTCAACTTCCTGGCTGCATTGCTTAGTAGTTCGTATTGGTTTTATTTTAGTTACCGCACCTTCTCGATCGTACATACATATATGGTGGTGTATATATAAACAGGGGTGTCACAGAATTCGCAGCAGGATTTGTAATAGCTTTAGAAGGATTTTGAAAGCATTAAATTCATTTGTTTGAAACAAGTGTCTGGAAATTGGCAATCCTGAGAGATATCTATAGATCCCCTGGTATAGTGGTGTATATATATGCGTGTATATATATGAATTTATATAGATACCTTTACTTTTGTGTATATTTATATGAATATTTACTTGTTGTTTATTTCTGTTGCCATTTGTTTATACTTCGTCTACAACTCTTCATTAATCTTCGTTTCGTTTCGTTTTGTTTTTTTTTTGTTTGTTAGTTATTGTCCACCCATCCAGTTTACGGAAATTCTCTTTTTTTCACTTTGTTGTCGCATTTTTTTGTTGCTCATAACATTGTTTATTTTTTTTTGCTAAATTGTTGTTGGTATCGGCATTTAACAAAGGAGGCGAATCACAAATGATTATGAAAATGCATATAGGATGCATTGAATCGGAAATATTTAAAAGAGCTCAGATTAAATCTAAGCTTTTAAATCGACCAGAATCTCTATTCGACTAGAACATCTATGGGAAAATAGGTAATTGAAAAGCCACAGTCCTTGTTTATTAAATTAACACACACATCAATTTACAAAATTTAAACCTTGCAAAAAAAAACAAAAACAAAAAACAAAAAACACGATGATAGACTCGTGCTTTTTGAGCTTTGCATAAATACATATAAATTGAAGACAAAAACCGAATTGTATTAAATTTCATTGAATTAAGTTCTCACACTCCGCCACAGGAATATGCAATAATATTTTTACGCAAATTTTCAGCTACTATATGCTATTTTATATTCGCTAGTGTCTGTGTGTCAGCTTTTTGTTTGTTAAATTTAGCATTTTTGTTTGGCATAGCATTTACTCTATTGTTATACTGCTCTATAAGCATTCCTTTTCCGCTTATTTTTTCCTGCTTTTGTTACCTAAATTTGTCCCGTTGTCGTATTATTAATAATAATGAAATAAATAATACAATTTACTGTGCTGCTGCTGCTGCTGTAGGAATATTGCAATTGCAAGCCAAACGAATCCTGAGTTCGTGTTGTAAACATGAATATAAAAATTGAATGCGACATAAAAAATGCAAAATGCAAAATGCAAAATGCTTCGTTGCCAGCCTCAGTTGTTGATGTTTTTGCAACCAGTTGTTGCCATTATAGTTGTAATTGCTGTAACATTATTTACCACACACAATAATAATAATAATAATAATGGCAATAATAATTGCTCTTCGCGGCTCTCCCAGCCCAGTTGTCAACGTATCAAAAGTCCCGTGTCGGGTGACCATCGATTCGCCCGATAGTACATGTCCTTGTACATCGATGGGCACGCATATTGATTCTGTTCGGTTTCGTAGGCAGTGCAGAGAATCGGGAAGAGAAGTTAAGATACATGGTACTGTTGCCAGATACATACATATGTGCAGTAGTAGTTGCCACACACGGTTGCCGCCTCAAAACGCAAAAAGTGGAAATACTTGCGCCTAAATGGCTGTAAATAGTTTTAGCGTTTTCGTCTCAAATCGTCGGATTGAATGTTTTACACGAAATCGCCCACTTTGCATTAAAAATAAATTAACAGCAATAACACAGCCATGTTAATGCCATAAAAAAGTAATCAGCGATAAAAGTTACCCCACTGGGGCGTACAAATTACAAATTAATGAACAAAAATGCGTAAATACTATAATGATGCGACCACAAATAAAACCGTGTCCACTTGGCAACCGTGCGGGGCTAATGGGTTAATTAAGCGCCGTCACACTCACCTTGTTTCGCTTAAAATCTATGTTCGTCCTTACGGTTCTATGGTGTAAACTTTGCACGGGTCGCGCATTATTACCTAGTGGAGCTTTTGGAGTACTCTCGGAGCCTTGCATCAGTCGTCGGAGTTGGTACAACTGAAAGACAGGGCATTAGTGTTGGAAAATGAGCCACTAATTGCTGCTGAATTATGCGGTGATATGAGTGGCATGATATGATTAGCGCATAATTCAAATGTATGGCATTGTAATATTTTAGTGAATGAGTATTATTGCAGAGCTGGTCTATGAAAATCACAATTGTCATTCTTTTTGCCTGCCTATTTCGCTGTTTACTCATTTACTTGGAGTACTTTTTGTCGGCCAACACTTTTGACCCCAGCGGCATGGCCATTACACATGTTTCATATGCATTTATGCAAATTGATTAAACTAACCAAATATTGTTTTTTAATTATGCACAGAGCGGAATATTGACCGCGCTTCCACCGCGATCTGACCAATGCCCAAATTGATGAGCAATTTTATAATTGCATTTATGCGATGCCATTGTACTTCCAATCAGCGACCAGTGAGGAGGAGTGGGCACTACAGGACTACAGCACTACAACACTACAGTAAAAAACAACTAAAACAACAACAACAAAAAATCAAACATAAATAAACCAGCAGCAGCAAGTGCGAGCGCCGCTCTAATTGCAATCGAACAACACACGAAATGCATTTAATTATTTGCGGTGCGCAAATGGAGGCGCCACAAACTCACCTCCTGCTTGGTGATATAGATGGGCTTATTAACTATGATCCAGACGGTGCTCTCCCAGCAGCCCGGATGCGTCGTCGAGCCCTCGTAGGTGATGTAGTGATCCGTGTTCGGCAGCAGCGATCTCACGGATATGTGTCGTATGGGCGTGGAGAATCCTGCAAAGGAGGCGGGCGTCAGGTTAGACGGAACGTTGCTTATGGGCACATCGCACAATACACACATATATACATGTACCACGGGTATACATGTATGTATGCATGGAACACGTCTGGCGGGCGTCTGATGAATAATTCAGGCCAGTTCCTAGTTGCCACTTTTCAGTTCCCAGTGGCCAAACCTGACCACTTCAACGTCAGCGCTCGACTTTATTCATACAAATCATTTGCCAGCCGGAAATGAAGCAACTCGCGGCTTGCAGCCCAAGTCAAATGAAATCCGCGGGAGGAGATGGTTTTCCTTTCTTTTCTTTTTTTTTGTTGGCCGCGACGAGTGGGAGCTCCACTTTGGGGCAGAGTTTTTGCATGGCAGGTGCGCATACTCTCACATCAATCAGCTGATTGGTGTATCTGACGGATCAACGATTTGGGCAGGATTGTATATGTGGTTGTAACCTTTAGTTGCAACGAACTATCATTATCGTATCGTATGAAAATGGCTCTACTGTGTGGAATAGTGTCATAATTTTCATCACGATATACTTTCTCGCAATATTTCGGTAGAGTATCTGCATTTTAAGTACCTTGAAACTCTATATAGCCACCTTATCCTGCAGTTATGATGGTGGTTCTCGCTGTTGGCTGGCATATTTCTTGGCGCTCGGCTTCTTGCGCTCGGTTTTGCCCGGCATTTTACAAATTAAGGCTGGGGCTGGGCCCCCATAAAGTTGTACGACCTGTAAAAAGGCTATTAAGCTGGCCAAGAAAATGCCAGCGAGACGTGCAATGGGCAATGGGAGGGGGGGAAATTATTAAGTGTCGGTTTAGTGTAATTCGAGGTTTCATTTTCGTCACTTTGTGCCGGCCAGTCGCAATTTGGCACGCCCATCTCAGCCCCCCGATTCGATTTTTTACGGTTCGCCTGGACATAATTATGGCCCACCGAAGTAATGCTGTTGTTGCTGCTGCTGCAATGACATCATAAAAGCGGGCAGCCGGAGAAAAGGCAACTTGCAACGGTATTAACATTGCAACATTTCCGGCAGCATTTTGCGTAGACGGAAACGAAGGTGGTCAAGGGTTTGGGGGATTGGCAACTGGGAGGAATGCCTGCAAATTCACACTCACCTCTGTACAACACCTTGTTGAAGGTGCTGGTGATGATCCGCAACTCCGGATTGGGCGTCTCGCCAATTTGCACCATCAAGGAGAGTCCAACGATGCCCTGCGACTTGTGCTGCGCCTCGGACATGTTGTGGTACAGCTCCTTGTTGAAGCCGTAGATTTGGATCTGCAGCGAATGGAGTTGAAGCAATCATAGTTTTAGGGCGTTCAGCAGTTCTAACCTCGCCTGGAAAGCTGTAGCCCTGGATGAAGTGCTCGGATCCGCGCACGTTCTCCGTGCCGTAGTGTATGTAGATCTCCTCGAATTGGTAGCGGTAGGCCAGCGGTCCGCCGGATATGTTCACGTGCTGCTTGGTGTCCTTGTCCACGCGGAAGACCAGCGACTGGCCGGTGTTGTGCAGCGTGCCGGATACCTGCAACGCAATGCAAATGGGTATAGCCAGGACATGCGGGTCCTGGCGTTAGGGTCTCGCCAAACGGGATACCTCATGACCTCGTGGCCTCTACGCACCTTGTGCTTGTCGATGTGCAGGGGCCGCAGATAGGGATCGAAGAGCAGCTTGTCGGGCACCACGTCGATGGGCGACTGGCGGCGTCCTTTGTTGCACATATTCCACTGCGGATTGATGAGGCCCCAGAAGCTTGGTCCTGCCGGAAACAACAAGAGATTACAAGTGGGTAATACAGCTGGGTAACTGTGGGCTGATACTATAAAGCTAACACCACTTATATACATGAGTTATTATATCGCTATAGTTGCCACATAGCTAGCCATAATCAGAGTGGCTAAAGAGTGCAGTCCAGCATTGGAACATGGCCATATGCCCGTGCTTTGGTTATTGGCCACCGTTGCTGTGCCTGTTATGTTCCTCGGCCATATATGGTGTTCTGTCAATCGAGCAAATGGAAAACGTGTCTTCGCCTCTTCGCCCAATGCAAACAGAAACAGAAACAGGAACAGAACAGAAGCTGCAGCAGCAACATCGATGACAATTTCAAATGCCAAATGAAATTTCATAAGCCCCCAACTGGCCCCATCGCCCCCTTTTAAATGGCAATTAAATGCACCGTTGGGGGTCAGTTGTTTGGGTTCGAGTTTGGGTTGTTGGTCGATGTGACGGGCTGAAAACTGTCGAAACTTTTCAAAACAATGCCACACACCATAAGAGCGTGTGTGCGTGTGTGTATTGGCCATCTGAGTGGGGTGTGTGTGGTCAGGGGGGCGTAAAAAGAGGTGGGGCAAGTGGAGATGGGTGTGTGTGTGCCTTATGCAAAATTTAATATCTTTCTCTGCATGCTGCTGGTGGCCACTCAAATAAATGCAAATAATAGGTGTTGGATTAGTTGGCTGTGGGAGACTGTATTTATTTATTTAGAACAAATTATTGTTGTGAAACTTTTGCATTTTGAGTTATACAAATGATGCAGGCAGTGTAATAATCAATTGCCATGCAGTTTGAACGCATTTTCGGAATACCTAGTTATGTGATGAATCCCAAAAGTGTTTTCCAGCATTTTTCGAATGCCATTCGAATGCCGATTCTCTACAATTTCGTCGCGAGTTTTTCCCTGCATGTGTGTGGGTGCATTGATGACACGCGGCGGCAATAAATGCCAAAGTTTAAAAACTGCTCGCTGGTGCTGCAGCTGACCGGCCATTGTGTTTTGACCCACTGCGCCCCACTCCGCCCACTGCAACCACCCCCCTGCCCCCGCAATTGTCGCTTTTGTGGCGGCTGTTCATTTTGTGTTTTGCATTCATTTGTTGCTATTGCTGCTGTTGCATGTTGCTTGTTTCCCCTTCTTTCTTTGCCTTTTTGTATTTTTGTATTTTTTGTTGCTAAAGTGGGGGGAAAATGCAAACAGTGACAAGCAACAATTACAACAGCAGCAACATGTGTGTGTGTGTGTGCTCTGTCTGCGTTTTTGTTGCCAAACCATTTGAAATGTAATTAAATCAGCCACAGCATCCGAAAGTTTTACCAATTTATTCATACGAAGACTCAACATTCACACAGCAAAATTGATTAAAGGGCGGCAAAATGATGGGGCTTGTTGCGTATTTGTAAAGTGAGCATTTTATGTTCGAAACTATTTAGCTTTCATATTTGGGGGGCATCACAACTTAGGACTACTCGTGAAGCACTTACCGGATATGCCATCGTATGTCCACCACTCCTCCCAACTCGACAGGACCTCTGAAAGTAGAAGAGAGCCAGAAATACCAATCAAATCGAGGGGCTTAAAGCTGAAAGGTAAGCACCAAGGTGCCAAGGAGCTTAAAGTCTAGACAAGCTGCAAAACGCCGCTCGCAGTTGACTCCAAGGAGCAGTCAACAGTCAGCCGAGGCCACCGAGGCCACCGAGTCCCGGATTCCCCAATCCCTTTGCATATGCAGGATTGCAGCCCAAGATCCTGGGAATGCGGAGCACCCCACTCCCGCTGGCAGCAAAATCTCGGGTTTTCAATGCGCATAATTCGCTGCCAATGTAAACAGCGCATGAAATCAACTAATGTAAGATTTCCTCGATTCCGCGCCGCTTCCCGTTATTTCACCCGCAGACTGGAAGTCACCGGCGAAGTCAGACAAAACAAACAGGCGGCTGCTTCTTTCTGGGGGGTAAGCGATGACTTTAGTTGCCAGCCATCGAGACGCCATCGGATCTGGTGGTCGTCGTCCTGCTCCTGGTCCTACTGCTGGTCCTGCTTATCCTGCGTGTCGCATGAGTCAACGTCCAACTGGGCCACACACAAAAAAGCAGCCAGGCTGCTGGGTTGCTGGTTTACTGGATTCGGGGCTAAGGGATGAGGACGACAACAGCGATGTCGCCAGGCAGTCTGGCGCCAATAAAGTTTACACTCAGTTGCCACATTTCGTTTATGGGCAAGTTCTGCTTCCGCTTTATCAAGCGACAGACAATTTTCGCTATTTTCCCCTTCTTTTTTTTTTGTCATTTTTTCGCCAAGACCCCACCACTCCCCCCTTGGCAGTTCGAGCGTATTCAAAATTTATGCTATATGCGTCGTAACGGAGCTTTTCGGCAGGGGCACTTTGCAGTGGGGGTGGCAGTGGGTGGGGCGGCAATAAAGCCCAAAGAAATTGCTGCAAGCCAAAGCGGAAGTTCAAAAGGGAGTCGCTGGAACTGGAACCGTTGCCCGCTTCCTGTTGGCTGCCATCACGCGAATACCCTGGCGACTTGGAGCGAAGGATGTGCACTTATCGTGACTTCCCAGGGTCGTCATAATGTTACCTCAGTTGAATTGATACACTGTTATACTGCAATTAATATCTTATATCTAGCATAGACATGGAAATATCTACAGCTAGGTTATGCCAATTGTAGCTATGAGTTTTTGCTGACATCGTTTAGTTTGCACGAGCATAATTTACATTTTGGCTGAACCACAAAATGTGCCAAGACAAGAGCACTCCCAAATGGTAGGTGCCCCACAACTGCGATAGTGTATCCCAATTTGCCAGCTGATCCTTGGGCATCCCGTGCCTTTGTCTCTGTTTGCTGCTGCTGAATTCCTTTTCGGGTCGTCGTGTTGCTTTTCTTGGCATAACAATGAACGTCCGTTTTTTTGTGAGCCGCGACTCGGCGACGTCACTTCATTTTGTTTGTTTGTTTGTTTGTTTGTTTGGTTGTCGCTGGCCGGCGCTTCTTTTTGCCTCTTGTTTGCCCGGTTGTTATTGTCTGCTTAGCGCTGCAAAGTATGCTATTGAATTGGCCCCGAAAACGGAGCGCGATAAATACCCTGGCAAAGGATCTCGATTCACTGCCAGGACTCATCAGGACTCCGCGATTCATCAGCCGACTGCATTTCCGTCATTTGGTGAATTTGTTTTCATGCTGCAGCTACCTAATTTATTGCCATAACAGTTTTATTTCAACGCCAGCGAAAATTCGGGTACACCGCAAAAAGCTGCATGCCATTTGAAACTGATTTCGCATCTAAACGGATTTGATTTTTGGCAAACCAAGAAAAAGAAACCAAGTCCCCAAGTCCACAGTAAAATAATAAATCTATTTAATAAATAAATAAGAAATAATCTCGATAAATTCGAGGTTCTGGTAAATGACTTGACTTGTTTTTTGTGTGTGGCTTAGGGTGAGTGAGGAGATGCCAAAGACAGCCAGTCTGTCGCCACAATTGTGTGTGTGCGCTGGCCAATGGTTTATGGTCCTGTTGGCCATTCAAATGGAATCTGGCTTTCGGGTTATTGTCTCAATCGTTCCCCCTCCCCAGGCCGCCGCCCATCCATATGTACCTCCATCTCCATCCTATATTTATAAGTATCTGTTTGCCCTCTCTGGCATGCGGAGCATTAGGCCTTTGTGCCAGTTCCAGCTGCTTTAACTCCTATCTGCGGCTGTTTATCAACTCCAACGGCCAGAAGTCGAAGCACCTATATATGTATGTTTATAGCCATGGTTTATAGTTTATAGTTTATAGTAAATAGTGCATGGGCTTGCCGCTTAGATGCCTGGTCGGTGCTGAATTCAATGTGTTCAATCTGGATTGGATGACAGTTTTGTTTAATGTGTCCTTGGCAGATCACTTACACAATTTAGCGCACCAATCATGTGAAATATATTTAGGCATATATTTGAATATATTTAATACATTAAAAACCTGTGTTACGTTTTTGTTCCTGTCACTAAAACTTCTGTTGTCTACGAGTTCCATACAACAATTATGAATATTTAAGCATGATTTCCCCGTCATTCTTCCATGCAAACTGAATGTTAATTGGCATTTCCGTGTGCTTGAGCCCAAGCCACATTTTATTACCTTATCGCATTAATTGCCGTGTTCTGTGAGTCACTTGCTTATCAATAACAAGCGCGTTTAGACGACTAAATTAACTGGGATTTCCATTTCGCTCGTTTGTTTGTTGTAACCAGTATACGATATGGGCGTCAAATCAGAACCAGAATCAGAATCTGAATCTGAATCAGAATCAAGTGGGCGAAATGAAAAGGTTCGGGTCGTGTGTCTGGCCCATTTAGGCCTTGTTATTTGTTTGCTTGCCAGTTTGCCTGTTTGGCGTGTGCGTGAAAATGGCGTAAAGATGGAATGTTTGGCTATCAAAAAGCGGGAAAATGTCCTCGACTTTCCTCGCCGTTCCCGTCACGCACAGCATGGCGTGCATGGGTGCCATCAAAGGAGGTCCAACACGCCCCGTTAACATTTCAATGTCTAAATGAATTAAACAAGCCAAACAAAGGCAGGCGATGGGCGAAAGATCGCCGTGGGGGGATGGAAATAGCCCTTTTATGTGTAAATTATGGGTTCAATATAATATTGACAGTGAATCAATAAAGGAAATGTTCTTAAAATTAATAGGCGACATTTTGATATTGAATTACTCGCTGTGTCATCGCTTTTAATTAAAATTTCTAGACAAGGGCGCGGAATGCACACAAACTTGCACACCAATTATGCGTGAATGTGTGTGTGCGTATACCCATATACCCATATCCTGGCGTATCCTGGCATGTCCTGGCAGAATTTATTGCTTCCTGTTAGGCGAGCGGAGCAGCGCTGATTAGTATCTGAAGCGCTGCTTCAGTTTATCAAACTGTCGCCTTGGCAGCCGCCCTCGAAAGATTGACGACTATAACTGCGAAGGTCCCGAACCTCCCGTTTTCTCACCCTTCACCAACTTGGCTCCCTTCATAAAGTGTTCATTTACTCGCAAACATTCGATCAGATTTCCACGGCTCGCGTTTGTGCATTTTTCGCTTAAATATTTCATTTGCAGCCCGCACACACTGGATTTCCATGGAAAGCGCATTAATACTGATTAGCTGCATTATGCATGGCCCGAAACGCGGAAAAATAGTTCAACTACAGCTGGCGGAGAACAGACTGCAGCTTTAAATATATTATCAACTGAGTTGAGCGCACGCTGAACTAACATACATTTTGAATGCTTCGAAAATGTTCTCCAAATGGTTGTACTATTCTTTACAGGGTCTCAATCAATCTAAACTTGTTAAATGCATACTGAAGAGTTTTTGCACACTTACCGGAATTGCCACTTAATTTATGTTAAACATTGTCGCCAGCGAATGCAACCAAACTATTTCGCTTCATTTGTGTGTTTGAAAACTCTCTGAGTCCACAATTTGCACTTAATCGCTAAGCAAATTAACCAGCAATAGGGACACAAACAATTTCCACGTCATTACATGATTTTTCTAAATAGTTGGCAAAAGTTTTTCCACCCCGGAAGGAAACATTGTAGGAATTCCTCACTTCATTCTTTTGTATCTTTTGTCTTTTTTGAGTTTTCATTTGCGTTCTTGCAGTGAAATACTTTTGTTGGTTCTTGGCGCCAAAAATAAAATTCCCATTTCATCTTCTGGGGTAAATTAAAAAATGGGTCAGGAAAAGGCAAAAAAAAAAAAAGAAAAATAAAATAAGAAAGGAGGAAAATCGAGGGGAATGCTGATGAACACAGTGGAGGGAAATAAACGTTCAACTCACGCGATGAGTTAACAGCAAAAGTTGATGTTTGTGCTGTTTGATTTGTTATTTTTTCGCATGCTGTGCAAATGCGTTTAAATGCTCCCGAAAACGTTGATTGAAAAGCAATTCCAACCGGATAAGGATCAGCTTCGCGCAAAAAAGTCATTAAATACAATATACAACCGCCCTAAAAAGTATTTAAGAGCATTTAAAGCGACCCATTTCTTGGAAAGCTAATACCGATAGTTACAGTTCTGCTTATTGTAGGTACGAGTTGGCTTTGATAAAGCCCAATGTTTTTTCCCGAGTGCATGTGGGGTAATTGCCAACAAAGTAAGCCAAAGCTCATGTTCATGAAAGGATCGGGGACGGAATCACAGGGCGAGCAAATACAACGCTTGAAAACCATAATTTGGCTAAAAACCGTCTAGACATTTGCCGCTTGCAACTAACCAACTATCTTAATTTGTTGGTGCCAGCAAACTTTAGCCACTTTTTCCCACCAATCTACCCCGTTTTACCCCAAAACGGAAAACCACCTGGCAGAAGTGGCTGAAAGAAAGCGACCAAGAAGACTCAGGAGGAAGTTGAGGCCGCTGCCGCTGCTGCTGCTGCTGCTTGGCATATACAATTTCGATAATAAGCAACAGTACATTTTCCCGTGCAGCAAGGAAAAGTGGGTGGTGCTGGAGCTGGAGGTCAAAGGTGAGCGGTCACAGCCAAGGGGGGAGGTGCAGACACACACGTGTGCAGTTTTCGGTGGCTAATGCGAGTCACGTCAACGCTGCATGCGAAATCGTTTTTTGAAAACTTTTTCCAGCTTGGCAACTTCAACTACGGATATCTGCGCTGTCTCAATTAGTGGCATTGGCCCGAAAAAAAAGAAAACGGGAAATGTACTTCTCATCTCTTCATTTAGTTGCGAACAAAATGTTAGCACTCGCCAACCGGCTTTTGACCAAAAAAAGGCATACAATAGATAGTTACAATAGTTACTAGCCCTTTTTAGTGATGCACGCTTATTTCTTAGCAGTTTTTCTTTTCTTATAGCACAAGAGCTGGAAAATATTCAGCTGGATATCGCATTGGGGGCTATTTCCTTGAACGCTGCTGTGCTTCGAGGCACTTGCAGCAGATTGGGGCAGCCACTTCAAGTGGATCGGTGGTCAAACGAGGCGTATTGCCCTCCGGCTGACATATGTAGTGGCGTCTATAATACGACAGACAAAAGCACAATCAGCTAAGCACTTCTTGGAAAAGCGGAAAAGTGGAATGGAAAGCGGGTGGAGTGCAAAAAATACGAGGGAAAAAGGGCAGGAAAATCGCTGCCTCTTGGCTGGCCATGTCAAAGTGATTTTTCACCTCAAGGGCAAATTTAACACAATAATTTGCACAATTTGTCAAAACAACCCTCCGGCTAAATGGTATCATAAACCACACACAAGCACACACGCACACACACACACGCACACACGCACATAGATAGATATACGTACGTACACTATTGAGTCCTGCGAGTGCGACGGTGTGTGTTTGTGAGAGAGTTGATTGTCCTGCATGCATTTCTGCCATATAGTTCGCTTTTGTTACGCCCCACAAAATGTTTTCCGTTTTTCCTTTCCTCGCTTTTCCCGCTTTTCTCGCTTTTCCTGGGCTTCCCGGCTTTATTTTTTATGGCCTGCCTTCCATGGAAAGGCCTTTCGATTATTATCAGGGTGTTTTGGCCACATTCATATGATTAGTCGGCTTTTAGATTTAAACTGACCTGATTTGGTAAAAGCCTTTTTTGGCTGTCTCATCGCCTAAAGTTTGATAAAACAATGAAAATTTACAGTGTGCTTCACACTTAGAGACTCCCCTTCACTTTAATCTAAGCAAGCAATTTGAAGCTATTTTTTCCATTTTCCTAATGCTTTATTAAGTAAACTGGTTTTCTTGCAACTTTTTTCAGAGAACCTTCCTTTGTTTGATACATTCAATATTTTCACTGTGCAAAGAGTATTTGGCATTCGTTGCTGGCGCACACTGTTTAATATTTTCATATTTATGACTGGCAATGTTTTGTCGCCAATGCCCCGCTTTTCACACCCCTTTTCATTCGTTTCACTCGTTTTTCAGTTTTGCACTTTGCAGTTTATGCAATTTCAGTTGCTGCCCCTGTGGTTGTTGTTCCTCTGGTTCCTCTTCGTGTTGTTGTCTGACCGCACTGCTACTGTTGTTGTTTGGGCTTCGCCTATTTTTATTTGCACTTGTTTATGCTGCAATTTTTATAACAAACGCCAGAGTGTCCTGTTTTGTTCCCTGGCCACCTGGCCATCTGACCACCTGACAACCAAGCCAAACAAAAAAAAGAGTGAAAAAGAAAAAGAGCCCTGTTCCAAAAACCGATCTGTCTGCGGTTTTTATTACTAATGCGCTGTTCAATGTGTAAAAACATTATGAATATAAAATTTAAATATAAATATATTTTGAACCCATCAACTGCAAAAAGCTGCAGTGCAAAACGACTATGAAAATTGGTAGGCCACTGCAGAAAATGTGTGCCAAATGCATGGAATTAAACCAGCTTGATGAACTCGGTCTCCTCTCGCCTTCTACTTTTTTGTTTGGCCTTTCAATTGGAAATGGCAAAATGTGCAAAATATTTAAAGTTGTTGCGCTTTCCATTATTTTCAGATTCTATAAAACTAACTATAAAACTATCTGCGGAAAACATGTAACCTTCTGCGATCTCAGAATTATGAAAGTAACCTAATACTAAATATTTTTATATAGCAAACGGGTATTTTATTGAATTAGGCAGAGCAGCATTTTAAAAAATTATTTGGGTATTAATTTTCCAAGTATATATGATTTGCTTAACCCAAAATGCACTTTCAAATCTCTTTTATTCAAAACTACAGCTGAGATTTGTCCACTTTTGTTCCGAGCTTGAGGCTTAGCTAATTGAGTGTTAATTTGTTTTCCCATTGCAACATGTGAGTGGCGCTGAACGTTGCTGCCCCAAGCTGTTTTCAGCACATTTTTGTGCAAATATATTTATGCTTTCGCCGTTTTTTGTGTGTGCAACGAAATGCATTAACCGAGCTGAAGTTGTCCGAGTACTTGCTGCCACACACGTCCTTATGTCCTTATGTCCTTGTGTCGGTATACCCTTTGTCCGCTTGTCCGTTTGTCCGTTTGTCCAGACCTTGGCAGTGTTTTTGCCGCCTGCCCTTTGTGCCAGGACTTTCGTCCTTTCACTGCCGCTGCCGCTGCCCCATGCTGCACTCTCTGTTTGTGGCAAGTGTCGGTGCGTTTCTGTTCGGCTAGGGGAACTGTATCTGTAAATGTATCTCTATCTGCGACTGGAGCTGTATCTGTGTGCAGCCTGCCGAAATCCTTTTAAACTTGCCTCGCAAAACATTTTACATTCGATGACGTTTCCATTGCAAGATGCAACGTCAACAATAAACCAGAAGCTGGCAAAATCAAATTTGTTGGTCAACAGAAAAGAAGTCGAGGCAGTGAGTTAAGCATTGAGTGAAGTGGTCTTCATTCCCCCGAATCCTAGATCCTGGATCCTGGATCCTGGACCCCTCTGCGTCCCGAGTCCTTTTGTGGGGCATATTTCACTTACCGGAACTGCAAAGCAGAACGATTGCTGAGCAAGCGATAAATCCTGCCGTGGAGCAGCAGAATGATGTGTGGTGTCCTGGCGACGGCATCTCTATGTGACTGTATCTGTTTGTGGCTGGACTTTAGATTGCACTGGCTGCAACTGGAACTGGACTATTGCTACTGGGAGTTCTGGGTTTTTTTTTATTTTTGGTTTTGGTTTTGGTTTTGTTGTGTTTGGTGTGCCCCTCTTAAGCTTTCGGCTGGTGGGTTGGATTGCGCACGAGTCTGCAGTTAGATCTGACACTTGAGTCTTGTTTCGGTCAGTTTGGGATTCTCTTTCATCTTAATTTCCATCTTCATCGCTCCTGCATGGCCCACCCACCGCCGCCCGCCTCCTTTTGCATATATGCAAATTTTAATTTCCGTTACTTTCTCCGATATGCACACAACTTGCTGGCTTCATTTCCGTCTTCTGTGTTCTCGTTTTGCAATTTTCTTTTTTGGCCGGCTCTTTTCACACTGCACACTCGAAAAAAAAATGTTTCTGCTTCTCTTCGACCTTGCCTATTAAACGGAAGAAGCGTGCGTTTTCTTGGATTTTGAAAATTGCAACTTTCGCGCTTTTTCGAACAAGTGCAATCGAAGGGCCGACAGGACGCGTCCGTCTGTCTCTGAATGCGAATCGAAACTGAACGGCACTGTCAGTGGCATCAGCGCCAAAGGATATGCAACGGGCTTCTCGGCAGGCGCGCAGCAGCAACAGCAGCAGCAACAACAACGACGGCAGCACACTGCCAACAGCAGCAGCGCCGAAGGGATGTTCGTGGCAGGACGAAAGCGAACGAGCGGAACCGAGCGCAGCCGAGCGGCCTGCCGAAGGTCTGCCGCACGAAGAGCTGCCATTTGAAATACTGGGACTGAAATGCAGCATAATCTTCTAATAAACGTTGGGAAATCTCCGAAAATGGGAACAACCTAAGAGGGAAATCAAATTGCTTATCAAATATATACAATTCATCATAAGGTTTCGATCGTTTTCCCCATTGGTATTGGTATCACATCTATATCATATATAATAATGATATATATTTTTAAATTAATTATCACCTTATATTAAAGTATAAGGTTTTTTTACAGATATAACTACCTTCTTTGAAATATATTTGTGGTTTATAGAACCTCTTTCATAATTAGAATTTTTTAATTTTTAATTGCAAATCCTCTGTTTTTTGTTTGATGTGAATAGTTCCCTTGTGAACAACATCTGTTCCCACTAAGGCCACAACTCTTATACGGCACACTCTTCTAAAACGCGAGCTCGTCGGTCGAGCTCGTGGCAGGACACGAGGTCCTTGCGTCGCTGCCGACGCCTGCGCGACTTTGGGCGACGAGTCCTGCGGATCCGGCGAATTACAACGCTTGCCAGCCACGTGCAAGTGTCAGCATTGTTGTTGTTATTGCTGTTGCTGTTACTGCGATTGTCCTGGGTTATGGTTTCGTCCTTTTTTCTTATCCCCCCACCCCCTTCCCCCTTTGGCAGTCCTCGCTGCTGGCAATCAGCGGAACGTTACGTGCGTTGCCTGTTTTTTGTGTTTTTGTCCTGTTCCACAGGACGGGTTTCTTATCAGTGGCACGGAGAAAGGAGATGGGGCAAGCAGCAAGTGGGCGCAAGGAGCAAGGAGCAAGGAGCAAGGAGCAGGGAGCAGGGAGCCTTCGACAACGAGGAGTCCTCGGATTTCGTCGGGAGTCGTGGCTGGATTCTGGTTTCTGCTTGGCAGCCGGCGTTGATATAAATTCTTATTGGCGCATTACAAATTGCCGTCTTGCCTGGAGATGTGTGCTTGTGTGGGGAAGGTCCTTGCACATAATGTAATCGCCTTACATAACACAAGGCATAAACAGTTTTTCTTAGTTGATTCGCGACAGACAACGGATTTGGTCCTTTGTTTTGCGGTAATTAGATTTCCACCTCATTTGCATACAAATGAAAACGAATCCATGAATGCGCGAATCAGTCTTTCAACAAGCACGCATAAATTAGCTGAATAAAATATTCGAGCACAAATATATATATATATTTAATGAGGCCTTTGTGGTATTAAATGCGTCGCGATAACATATTAATGCCACTAAGCCAGGCGTTACACAGTTTTCATTTCAGCCGCAATGTTAACATTTTCCAACCGCTACGCACTCGCACCGACTTCAAGTTTTCGTCGGCTAATCCATAAAATCGCTTTCGCCACTAATTCAATTCAAATGTATTGCTGCATTATTAAATGCTTTCAATCACATTCGTTCAGCAATCGGCGGCTGTATGAAAGTCGGAAAATCGGAAAATTGGCTGCCGGCTGCCGACGGTTTTAGCCCCACAAATCTCCACACACCACCCACTTCCCCCACCCCTCTCCCCAACGCAGTGGAAGCCATTAACTTGACATTGCAACAACAGCAATGCCAACAACTAACAATAGCATTGATTCAACTATCCCCCTCTTTGTTAATATTTACGTAGTTAAAAATAAAAAAATATAATAGATTTAGTACGAATTTTATATAAAAATATTTTTATTTGCCGAGGAAGTTGCCGCAACTATTCGAGTGACGAAAAGTTTCACACTTTGTTATTAAACAACGCGTAACCTTTTTTGATGTTTGAAATCAAGTTAATCAGTTAGCAGTTTGTGAGATATTAAGACTGACTTGATTGAAAATATATTCGAGAGAAATCATGGCATTTCAGATGCTAAAGCTCATGTAATTGGCAGGCATTCGGAATTGATTAGGGTCAGTCGCATGTTCAGAAGGCACTGAACGATTCCGACGTGAATAAACAATAATAGGAAAGTAAAAAAGGGCCCAGTGACGAAAAAAGTACGCAGCGCATTTTGCATCGCACTCACACATAGACGCTGACAGCTGCACGCACACAAGGACATGCACACACACACAGACACAGACACACACGCACATTCACACTTGCACTTGCACATTGCAATTGCAGGCAATGCAATTGAATTCGTGGCAGTTTTAATGTAATTAGTTTTTACACCTTGCCAAACCGAATGAGAGACAGACACTGCGAATTGAAAGTGTGGGTGGGCGGTGAGCGGTGAGCGGGCAGGGGGGCAATTGTGGGTGGTGAAGTGGGTGTTCGGCGCAGACAGTGCGCATTTTCTAATTAAAAACGCCAACGGCAATTGCCATTGGCCTGCGATCCAGCGGCAGAGCATCGCAATTGCCATGGCATTTCCGTGTCTCTGGGCCTTCCAGCCACCTCTGCGCCCATTTTCCACCTCATTTTCCATCGCCAGCGACGACAGGAAACGGCGGCTAATTGGCAACAAGACAAATCGCTGTGGCAATTTGCTGAGAATTATGCGACAAGATCAATTTGGCCGTCGAATTGGTTGCGAATCCGACTGCGAGTGGTTCTGCGGCAGGTTCAAGGTCTGCAATTGTTATAAATTTCCATCGAGCCAGGGAAACACAAAATGAACAAAGAAGAAAAAATTGTAAGTAGTGCCGCGGTGTGGGAAAAAAGTCATAAAACTTTTACGGCATTTTCGGTTCACGCCTTTGGCGAGTGGGGTGTGATTTGAAATTAATATAACTAAAAGGTTTTACGGCGCCGCATTCCATCGTTCTATCATGGGTTTCCCACTTTCCTGTCTATCTATTTCTTATTTTTGTTTTCTTTTTTTATTGATTTTCACTCAGCGCTGCTTCGTTATTTCCCCGCTAGTATATAGTATAGTTTTTCTTTTCGCGGAAAAACCAGCTCTTTTCCGTTTCCCCGCCCTTCTTCCGTTCCGGTCCGCCTGAGCGTCCGTTCCATTCCGTCCCGTTCCGTTCCGTCCCGTTCCGTTCCGATCCGTTTCATTGCCGGCGGTGCGTTTAGCTGGTTATTCCTTTGACGCTGACGCTTCAAGCGGAAGTACAGATACGCTGGTGTGGGTGTGGGTGTGGGTGTGGCCACACAAAAACACACACACCCTTTGCTGACGGACAAAGCCTGCCTTAACCCTTGGGCGGCCAATGCAGTCGGAAAGTGGACAGTGACGTGCTCGAATAGACCACTAATTAAATTGGAGCTTCAGCTCCAAGTGCTGGCTATTCATTTTGGTTGATAGACCCTAAGGCATTCAAACGGCATACTGGTAACACTAAGGGTTACTAACTGGCATTCCAAGCGGAGATTCACGGAAAATGCACTAAACGCTTCATTATAGCGGCATTAAATATTTAATTCAAGACTTAAAAGGGCAGTTAGTTGATTACAAACGACTGTTGCATAAATACATGTAACTAATCCTTGAAAAGGCAAACGTCAAGCCTTAAAAGCCCAGCGCAAAACACATGGGTTAAGCAGCTATGTTCTTTCAGCTAGCATATCATTCATATTTTACGAGTATGCCAGCTTTAAAATTGTAATTTATTTATGTATTTGTGCATTATGCCGCGAACATCAAACATTTCCCACAGAAGAAAACGAAGTCGAGACTGAACTTGTGCGCTATCAAGTTGCCCAGATACTCGGAGGTGGACAGGACACCTGCTGTTTCCATTTAATTCAGTTTACAGAAATATATCCGTTTTAGTTTAAAGCGCCATATCCGTGTTCCTTTTTCCCCCCCAAGTGCAACACAATCCGCTCCCTTGTGCTTGTGTATGGCCTTCAGGTGTAAACATTATCTGCATTTTCACGCTCCAAACAGAAATTTATTGCCGAGATGCTGGGATGCTGGGATGATGGGATGCTCGGAAGGGCGGTGGAAAATTTGTACTAAAGGAAAACGGGTTGGAAAACCAGCCACATCCCATCTTTGCGGTCCGGGCAATCGAAGAGCAACTTTATAGCTGCAATTCCGTCTCATCTTCCAGCACTTGACTGTTGCTCTGCGTGAATGTGTGTGTGCATTACGCTAAATTACATTTTGAATATTGAATTGACGGTGCAGCTAACCTGACCTTACCTGTCAACCATCCCCCTTCCGCCCCAATCTGTCTGGGAAATCGAATTCGTTTGTTGCATTCCTTCAATTGAATTTTTGCGGTTCTTCGTCGTCGCCGTTTTCCCGGCTGTCTTGGGGTCGCCTTTTCCCCTTTCACATCTTCTGGTTTTGGTTTTCCCTGGGCGTCTCTTCTTCATCTAATTTGACGGCAACGCACACAAATTCGCTGCACAACCTGGCAATTTTCCGAGTTTGTCGCGCTCCTCACGGCCGCTCCATCTGTACCACAGCTATCGAATATCGGTTGCAACTTGACGCTAATGAAATATGAGCAGGAACTTCTGAGGATCAGCAAGGATCAGGTGGCGGCTGATTATCGGCAGAACTTTGCTACTGATTAGGATGCCTGGTGCCAAAAAGAACCAGAGAATTTCAATAAAAATGGACAAAAAGATGGGTTGCTTAGGTTATGAAATTTGAACACTAATATTCCAATTTAAATATTATATTTATTCTGTTATCTATTCCCTTCGCCGCATTCAAGCCTTGAAGGTTGCTCGAATTCCCTCAAGCCGTCTATAAATCATCATCCCGGTATCCTTGCCTGCTTCCCCAGCTGAAGCCGGGCACAAATCAAAACTCCGGAAATTAGCAGCTACTGATTCGGAGTCCACAGTCTTTAGTCGGACTAGGGCCAGCTTAACTTGGCCTACGTGTGTGGAGTGCTCGGTCCTTGGGAGGTGGTGGGTGGTGGGTGGCACACTTGGGTGACTTAAGGCTGAAGGAGCCTTTATTCCTTCGGTCACGCACATGGCGAAAACATTTCACTGACACG